AGAGTCTTAATGACTTGTTGAGCCTTATCATAATAAGTATATACTAAATGGAGAAAATTGATTAACCCATCCCTGAAAAGGACTCTTTTGCCATTATGACCACCACCCCCTCTCCGTTTAAAACTGAAACTTTCAATTTTCTAATTAATCAAATACTAATTCTAAAACATTTGGGTTTTTTTTATCAAATGAGAGACAAAACCTGTATTGTATAGAGTTATATAAACTGATGTAAAGAAAACTTCTATAACATTTTATAAAATTACGTTTCAAAACTCGGTTTTTACGCCGCAGTTTTATATTAGCAGGGATTGGACTTAGACGAACGCTCGCCTTTCCTCTGAAGAATTCTGTATTAGTGCATTATTACTATAGTACTATATTACCATGTGTCATTGATTGCTTTGCCCGCGATCGGAAATTCTATATATGGACCTTGCATTGGACTCGTCGTATTTATTACTCGTCATAATTGCAGTATGTTTCAAATGTTAGAAACGTGTATTTATAGAACATTCTAAAAGCCACATCTATCTTGCATAACATTTAGACTTTAAGAAAAGTATCGATGCATTCATTGCATAAATTAAGCATTGACAAAACTCTATGTTCATATATTGGATTTACAGGTATTCAACATAATAGTCTAAATATATGATTCGAAATGAATAACTTAACAATGCATTCGTTGTTATAAAATACATAGTTTTGTATATTTGACATTTTTGGAAAAGCGATCGACATAACTTGCAGATACTCTCTCTTACAGACATCCAATCCTTGCTTACATAAAAACAAAAAAAAAATATTCTCGTCAACTACGTGCTACATAGTAACATACCTTAACTGAATTATGAACGCCTCTTCTACACTGAAACACATCTTTCCATCCGTCATTTTTCTTACATAAAGTTTGAATTTTGTTGGATGTCTTTCTAATGTCATACTTAATGTTATCAATGGTCACTTTAATGATAAACCCAATGGTTATCATTAGAGAAAATAAGAACAGAAGCACAGCCGTGCGAAAATTTCCTCCTCGAATTCTCCCAAAGACTGGTCGCCAGATTCTATTTTTCTTGGTTTTCCGTAATTTAAAGCTATGTAACACGATAATTTTCATGTTTTTTACTGATATCAAAAACTCTTTTCATCATTCTATTGAAGTCCAAATAAAAACAAACCAGTCTAAGTTCACCTTGAGGCCATGTTGCTACAAATACAAGCGCTTGTTATCCTTGTCAAGAAATAAATGAGAATGAAATGGACAAAAATATCCCACAAGAAGCCTGGTCAAGTCTTGTGGTTGATATATTGTCATGCGATGTAATTAACTTGACCTTGCTTGATGTCAAAGGTCATTAACACGCAGTCCCACCGCCAGGTGGCGTCATATAATAAAGACGTTGCGATAAATGGTTTTGTTCCATAAAAGGACCAGGAATAAAATCTAGATGGATGTTTTAATGAAAGATTGGCAATAAAAAATATTCCTTGTATCAGATACTGGCTTGCTGGAACTTGTACGCATTCGACATTTTACTACGAAGTACATGTACTCAAATGTTTTGCATGTTTTGATAAAAAGTAACAAAGCAACGCTTAATGTCATTTTTCATAAGATCTTCGACACTTCAAAAGAGAAATAAGCATCAGTTCGTCGTGTTGCCAGCAATTCACAATTTGAGTGAATTTAGTCTTTTTGGTCAGCATTACATATAGATGTGTAACCTGTACATGGCCACGTATTAAACAGTCTAAAATTATACAATGTTTTTTAAAAAGTTATGGTGAAATTCAACTACTTAAAGAAGAACAAAATGGGAAAATATTGTAATCTCGCAAGAAATATTAAAAAAGGTGTCAGTTTTGAGTAAGATTAGGGGTTCCTGGGACTTGCAAGAATATACATGTACATGTACATACAACCGTGTGGTTACGATCTCACTTGCCTCGTCCAAGTATATGTACATTTTTAAAAGTGTTCTTAGGATTTCAAAGAACGCGTTCGAGAGGAGATTTCTATTTTTTTTAAAGGGTAATTTTAATAGATAGCAGTTACATACAATCCCCTTCCTAAAATTGAATAAGACCAGGAACATATTTCTATGGCACGCCAAATTCACAAAAATGAGCTCAAAATAGTTTCACTATGGCACGCCAAATTCACAAAAATTAGCTAACCTAGTTCAACAATTGATAAACTAGGTTTATCGACTGTAAACTATAGTTTACAAACCGTTAACTATAGTTTACAATTCGTTAACTATAGTTTTCATCTGTAAAACTATATTTTACGGTTGTTAACTATAGTTTACGAATGCTAATCTAAGTTTATCTGTCTGTAATAAAACGTTAACAATAGATTTTGTTGATAAACATAGATTCACGTCTGTAAACTATAATTTACGATCGTTAACTATAGTTAAGAGTTGTAAACAATAGTTTACATATCGTGAAGCTGTATTTATCAGATAATCTACGTTTTGCAATCGCAAATGATTTGTTTTCGGTGTTAAGTATAATTTACGGTTGTGAAACATAGATTATCGCGTTAACTATGGTTTACAGATTTAAAATATAGATTAACGTTGTTAACTATAGTTTACGGTCCGTAAACTATAGTTTACAACCGATAAACCTAGTTTATCGACTGTGAAACTATGATTAGCTCATTTTTGTGAATTTGGCGTGCCATATTTCACAGTCGATAAACCAGGTTTATCGGTTGTAAACTATGGTTTACGGACTGTAAACTATAGTTAACAACGTTAATCTATATTTTACATCTGTAAACCATAGTTAATGCGATAATCTATGTTTCAGAACCGTAAACTATACTTAACACTGAAAACAATCATTTGGGATTGCAAAACATAGATTATCTGATAAATATAGTTTCACGATTTGTGAAACTATGATTAACAATTCTTAACTATAGTTCACGATTGTAAATTATAGTTTACAGACGTGAATCTATGTTTATCAACAAAAGCTATTGTTAACGTTTTATTACAGACAGATAAACTTAGATTAGCATTTGTAAACTATAGTTAAACCGTTAAATATAGTTTTACAGATGAAAACTATAGTTAACGAATTGTTAACGATAGTTCAATGTTTGTTAACTGTAGTTTACAGTCGATAAACCTAGTTTATTAAATGTGAAACTATGTTTAACTCATTTTTGTGAATTTGGCGTGCCATATATTTCAGCTAAGCATCTTATTGTGGAACTCATAAAGTACAAACATTGGTAATCAGAGATTACAGAGCTCACCTCAACGAGTGTTGTCTTTAAGTAAGGCAAAGTCAAACAATTAACCAACAAAAAGTGTACATTCAAAAATGCAAAATTTATGCAACTTTGACCTGATGGAATAGACCTATATAAAAACTTCAAACTAGTTCTTCATCATGAAAACATAACTAAAATCCAGCATCTGAAGAAAGTCTGGGAGTTTTCATCCCTTGATGCATCGTTTGTGCAAGTTTGGTTTTTATGAGCCTTATAAAAAAGACCTGGTAAAAGACTTGGTAAAAGACTTGCACCCATAACTTTTACCGGGTCCATTATCTGTAAATGTATGTCGAATTCAGCATCTGAAGCAAGTCCATTAGTGTGCATCTTAAGATGTATAACACTGAGAGGGTTCATAGTTACTTGGAAATGAAACCTGTATAAAAAAAAACTAACCTTTTCACTAATCCAGAAAATGTAGGTCAGATTTAGCATCCGAAGCAAGCCTGGTAGTTTGCATCCTAAGATGTACCATCCATGCAAGTTTGGTCAACATAGATCTTATAGTTACTATGAAATGAGACTTACACCAAAAACTGCACCAAAAATGTTAAGCTGCTCCAAAAACATTAACCTGGTCATTCCTTTGCTGAAATTGCAGCATCTGAAACTTTGACTGGTACAATGAAACACACTAGAAACATCTTCCATGCATGGCTAATCAATATAGGACACAGAAGTACTTTAAAATAACTGCTCTAAAAAACTTGACCTTAACTGGGACACCGACGCCAACGAAGCCCGTTATGCATAAATTATCCCATGTTTCCCACTATTGTTGATGTCCCTGGCGTACTATACTAACTAGACAGTGATTCCTTGTATTTCCATTTCATTATGAAATAACATTAATTTACAGATTTAGACTTTAAAAATGCAGACATAGATTTAAATTACACGAGGATTCCCATCCAAATTTCAATAGTCCTCGCCACTGACGTCAAACACAACGGCAGCCGCACAAGATTTTCATGCATATTTGTCCGCCTTAGCGTCAGACTCAGAGACAGATGCGCACGAGATTTGCATGCAGGCCTCCTTAGCTCCTGACCTCTTGAGCTGCCTAATTTTACGTTCCGGTAGAATTATCAAGAAATTAACTCCACTAACTTTCAAAGAGTTATCTCAGAGAGAAAAATTAGAAATGGAAATATAAGGATATCAGTCAGTCTGTCAAATTGCTTTCCAAAGATTTTACATGGATTTGAATCATTATGATATTCAAAGGCTGCTCCGCAAGGTGTAACCGTAAGGAGTCAATATATGTTATCCAATAGTCCCTCAGCAAGGATAGGAATCAATATCATATAGAATAGCCCGCTCAACAAAGATATGAGTCAATATAATATTCAAAAGCTGCTCAGCAAGGATAGGAGTCAATATCCAAAGGTTGCTCAACAAAGATACATGTACGAGTCAATATGATATTCAAAGACCGCACGACAAGGATATGAGTCAATATGATATCCAAAGGTTGCAGTCAATATTCTGTTATTGCATAAAATAAAGTCGTGACCTTCCTCCTAATTTATCAATGTATGGTGCTTCTCTTACATAATATTAACATAATGTAAAAACTGATTAGTGAGCAGCTCTCCCTGATTCCGATTTTCTTGTGACATCAAACGGTAAAAGAATGTCAAATTCCTCTATGTTTCTGTCATCGAAAGTTTCTTAGAAAATAAACGAGGAAAAAGCATAGAATTCTGGAATTTTTTTATTTAAAAATGTCAAAATATGCATAACAAGACTGACAGCTGAAATAAAGCTTGGGTAACATATATATATACAATTGGAGTTCCCATTCCATGGACGGTTTATAAGTAAAGCTGACGGAATCGGGACGGGGAAAACAATAGAGAAAAAGATTTTTCTGTGAAACACTGATGCCCCCACAGATGCTTAAAAGTGGGTCAAACTCTGAGGTCGAATTCATATTAGAAAAAAAGAGTTGGTTCCATGAAAAGGTCTGTCACAAGGAATACACAAGTATAATATGCAATCCCTAGCACTAACGCTCAAAAGTTAGCTAAAGTAAAACTTTTACAAAAGTATGCTTAACTCTAGGTTCAAGGTCAAAATAAAAAAGTGTTGGTATCAAAAAATAAAAAATATGAAAGCCCAAGCACTAATTTCTCAAAAAAGAGAGAGAAAGTTAAACTTAACAAAAATATGACAAACTCTCGCTTAAGGTCAAAAGGTCAAAAAAGTGGTACCCAAATAAAGAACGGGTGTAAAGCATGCTTTTTGCCTAGATCTAGGTCTATAACTAGGTGAAAAGTTATTACCAAGGTTAGAGTTTTATTAACGTAGGACATAGTGGGTCAAACTCGAGGTCAAAAGGTCGAAATGTTTGAAACCAAAAAAAGTTTGTCACAAGATAATTATACAACTTTGAATATAAAGACCACTTCATTGTTTGTTGAAAAGTTGTGATCAAGGTTAAGTTTATTGTGGACAGAGAGATAGACAGACAGACAGACCAAAACTATACCCCAATCTTCCATTATGGAGCATAACAAGTTACTGAAATTAATAATTCATAGAAAGCATACAAACTGAAGCTTCATTTGATGAAACAAAATACAGACATGTACATGTACTTTTCTTTTAGCAGGCACATGCAATATACAGAGTCGAAAAACAATCCCTGTATCCAATCATATGCAGAGCACAGTGCAATAACGTTAGCTTTAATTCTGGTTTCTCATATGCATTTATAGAATTTTTTCATACGAAAATTATGTTCCAGATTTTTTTTGTTTTCTCAAAATATAGTTTAGGAAAAAAAATTACACTTATTTTCTGTCACATCGATAAAATTATTCCCTATCCACAATCTTATCAAAAGATTACTCTGACTATACATACCAGAGACGATCACATACTGAATAGAAATTTATTACCAAATAAAAAGTTTGAGTAGCAATGCTTTTCAAAAAACAACGCCAAAAAATCGAAAATATTATTTAGTCCCTGAATCGTTTAAAAGCATTAATTAAATATACGTATCCAAGTATTGTAGAACACAAGGTAAGGCACGTGCAAAAAGAAAAGAAAAATTGCATAAATTCTTTCTTGCGTAATTAATTACACAACTGTATCATAATAAGCAGGAGAGTAAAAAAAATAAATAGGTCATAAAATTCACTCAGCATAATATAGTGTGTATTGGTACAAAAAAAAACACAATTGTCATAACCCGATAAAACATTTCAATGGAATAGAATACATTTGTTAAATACATTTCAAATTTAGAATACAGTTTGTTAAATGCTTATCTGAAGCATATTGCAGAAATATTTTTCTCGGTGTTTATCATCAAACATTCTTAAAGAACTCAAAGCAGGCATAAAACAAATGCTTACCATCCTAAAAATCCTAATATCACAGTTTAACTGTTTAATCAGCACCAGATTTTACTTGTTTCTACCCCTCTACGGAGCATGCCCATTAAGTAAAGGTAGCACATCCGTTTCCGGTTAAGTTTGTGCACTATGTCATGAGCTAAATATTTTCTACTACGTTTATCTGGGCTTTATTGGTGGTAGAGCGTTGGGTCGCGACAGTCTGTCTTCCACCGGAAGCATGGAGAGTGCGTTTCTCTGTGTTCCGTTTGTCGAATCACTTGTGACGAAATGGTTCAAGGGAGGTAAGGAAGTAGGCATCGAACGCTCCTAAAAAAGATAAACATACAGAATAAATGTCCGTTAAGTGTGAATATGTATACGTGAATGTTGATAAATATAAAATATCTTATCACCAAGTTAGTATTAGAGTATGTAGTTACCGTAGCACTTCTTATTTTCCTGTTATATCCCGACTTATCTTACATTTGATTTACAAAATAAAGAATAACTATGATTTTTACCCCAGTTGCCACACTTGAATAGGATGGCGGCAGCGAATCGTTGTCACTTTCTGCTGGTGATTGAGAACCTTCACTCTCTTGATTTGAGGAATTTGTAAGTAGGGTTCGAGATGACGGTCTGTCTTCTCGTAATGGACGAGATAAGCGTGTTCGAGAAGACGGTCTCTCCGCCGGTGCGGATGGCTCCTTTCGAGTTTGAGATACAGTAAAAATGTCATTTAAGTTTGGTCCTGTTTTCGTTTGTAATTCCTCTTCCGATATTTCGTAATTGGTCGGTCTCTCAAGATCATCCTCTGATATGAGACCAATCTACAGTTATAAATATAGATCATCATCAACCATTAGAAACAAATGTCAATTTTAAGGGGATTACTTAAATAATGTCTTTGGAATCAAAATTTCATAATAAGTTACACATACTTGTGATGTCTTAATTGTGTATGGGAAATTTTCATTCGCAACAGACGGTCTGGTAAGTATCTGAAAGAATAAAAAGACAGCTCAATTTAGAATTGCTTTTATAAATTTTAGAAGACTTTTGAGACAGAAAAAAAATTTCATCGAAACTTCATTTATATTTCTCCCTGAATGAAATATATGGAAATCTCTCATCAATAAATAAGTGCAAAAGACTCACCAAGAATGTCACGTGACCTAACATCATGATCAACTGATCGACGCCATTTACAATCTTTTCTCTTGCCCACTGGCGAATGGCAAACATGCCAATAATAATAGCAATGGGGCCTGCCCAAAACCTGAAAATAAATGTTTAGATTTTTAATTACAACCAGATGAAATATTTTCTTTGACAAAATCTGAAGAATGGCGTTTCTTAGCTTATTAGCAAAGTTAAAATCTTTTTCAAATTGTCAAAAGATATTCTTACCATATTGTGTATATTATGAATAAAGGGTAGTAGAATTTTCCGTTTTTCCGATGTTTCTTCAACGTCATAAACAGATAGATAACAAAAAAGATCCAAGCCAGGAGGCGGAGGGCGATGAGGGCGTAACCAGGCCAGTACTCGTAAATATACAAAACGGTACCGGGGTCAAAGGTCTGCAAAGGTCAACAGAACACGAATCATTACAAGTACATTGTCATTTTTTTTAATATTAATTTCTTTTTTAAGGATTAGATTTTATTCATTCCGTTTAAGAATTTTTAAGCATTTTGAATACATGTATATATCCATTACTTTTAAGACTATTTTGATAATGTTCTAAAATAGCGGGACTCTGACTTTTTTCTTCTTATATCATGTTTCTATTCCTTGTACAGCTTTTAGAACCACTTACATTTGCCTCCACTATGTAGAGAGCAGCGTAGGCTACGACGTAAACGGTGAAGAAGACGGAAAACAAAATGGAGGTCCGAGCAGACATTTTACCCTTTATAATCGTGTATCCATCCGCCATCAACAGCAGCATCAACATAAATAACAGTGAGCTCAGGGCAGCAAAGATCCGAGCTATTTAATAGAATAAATGTGGATGGATAAGATATGGTAAAAGAATTTACATGACAAACGCTGTATTATAATCAATGGGCTTAATTATTGACAAATACACGTAGCTTCTTTATCTTGTTATATGTGATTAGCTAACGAGCATGCATATTAAGATTAACTTTACTGTAATGTCAAGATGTGTTAACCCAGTTAGTTAGATTTACGTTATTCATGTATCTATAATAAAGTAAACAATTATCTCTTTGTTTTTCTTTACGCATGGAACTAGGTTTTGAATTTAATATTTTCTGCACAGTTTTGTAGTTTGTGATACCTGCACGTTCAGTGCCCGATTCCTTGTACCCGTACGAAGAGTATCTTCCATAAGCTATACACCATAGCAACAGCTGAAACCACCACAGGATCAAAGACGCCAGGTATATCTTGTAGGTCACGTGGAACATTTGTCTGGACCTCAATATTACTGTAAATAGATGGGAGAATTAACAATATAGGTAAATAATTAATTATTGAACAGAAAATCAATTAATTGATTTAGCTTGACTGGTTACTGTATATTAGTAAATATTCTTTTATAGTGTATATAATTATGTGAGCATATTAAATTTGATTTCTCAATTTCATCATGTTCATTAAATATTAATGCATTGCAATGCACTTACTGAAATAATGTTTTTGGAACGCAATCAATTTAAAATAGTTTGAAAAATTTCCTTAGAATATTCAATGCAATCTCGAATTCAAATTATTTCAGAATCTAATTTCTGCATAAAGGGAGCATAACAGAGCACAAAAGTTTTTAATATTTCTTTAAAAAATTGCATGTTTGCGTCATCCATAATTTGGCTTTAAACTATTGAAAAATATACATCTATACAGTACACGTACTTAAATTGTTTCATTTTACTTAAATTTCTGCTATTGAACCAAAATGAATATGAAATCTTTGTGTTCTCAAAATTGGCGTACACGAAGCTTTTAGAGGAAATGTAAACAAACCATTTCAAAACAGACTCCATCAACAAAAATTCATAATTCGTGAGGCATCATTAGAATTACATAAAATAAAAACTACGTACTTGCGAACACCATTGATATTAGGGTGATGAAGAAATACAAAATTAAAAAGGCTATGTCGGTCGGCAAAATATCTGCAAGGAAAAGAAATGATATACAAAATGTATAATTAAAGAACTACCCGAGACATTTGCTTATGGGATGTCTTGTTCCATTATTAAAGAATGAGTATAATGAAATGTTATAAACAACGGAACAAGCTAGGATGGTATTAGCTATAACAAAAAATATGCTGATAGACGAAGTCATTTGTAGATTGATTCTTCATTATTTCTGTTGGGGATTTGTCAGCCTATATGAGCTCAATTTGCAAAAGGATATTGGATTCCAAAGGTTAACAACTAGTGTTGGCAAATCGGACGATTTTTAGTAACCGGTTACTCGCTCAATCTTCCGATCGAGTACCCGGTTACTCGGATGATTTATTCATATGTATCATTTATCTCATCTTTTACTATCGGTTCTAATAAAACACAAAGGTGTTGTGAATTAACTTTATTTATAAACTTAAAAAGAACACGCACGCAATATCTTGAATTTTAAATATAACTGTAATAAAAAAATTAAATCAAAAGAAAAATAAATATTCAATGTTTCACGCTATTTTACAATGGCGTTCATCAGTTTAACTTTTCAACCCCCGATATATGTCACGATCAAGGAGAATAATTATTTAGAAATTTGAAGTCACGATAACTCCAATTCACATTAATTACATTTTACAGGTATAGAATCAGCTGTTCTTTTAAAATACTTCCGAGCTATACATGTCTTTGGCGGCATCTTTTTAAATTATTTAATGAGGTAATTATAACTTGGGTCTTCAAAACTTGTATAACCTGCTGGCAATCCAATTAAGCTATCAATTAAGTGTGAAAACCAATCAATCGTATTTAAATTAGTGAAGCCATAGATCATTAAGTCTAACGGTAAAGAAAATTAGGGAAATGTTTCTTTGTACGCTTATAAACAAATTAACATTTTAGTTTTTAGTTATTTACCATATAAGATGCATTTTATCCGAGTAACCGAATAGCAGTTTTACTAACCGATACTCGCATCGTTCGACGGTTAACCGGTTAACCGGGTACTCGTTGCCAACACTATTAACAACAGATCTTTTAAAAGTTTTTCAATAAATCTTGCAATGGTTTACAATAAATCTTACAAAGCTCGTCTGCAGAGAACTCTCGGTGCCATAGATCGTCGCCATTGGTCATATGGAAGCGGAAGGTAATATTCAACCCAGTAATATCCTACAACAACAATATACATGTATAAATGTCGTGCTGTTTCATTTCCATTAATTCTAAAGAAGCTCGAATTACTTTGGAAATAACACCAATATAAGGATCACTTCATTATAAATAGGGATCTGACCTATAGGACCGGGCTTGGTTTTATTCTCTACAAAAAGCTTGTCGATTTCCGTTCTGATTAATGGCATTAGGCTGAATACATATAACAATTTGTTTTTCCTAAATCTTTATTTCAGTGAGTAGAGATAGGAGGAACCCTTTTTATTGATTTTCTGAGTTTGTTATCTCCAAATGTAATAATTAATATTTGTCTTTACGTCTCATTGTGCATAAAGGTAATGTCTACTGCCTCTGAAATTCAATTCTTAATGTCTAGGCTATTTATCCGTGGATATAATAAAAACTTGTCTTTAATGTGTGCAAATTATAAAGGCCTACATGAAATCCAAGTGAGTGCATTTACTGAAATATGAAGCCAAAATCAATGTGATTAAATTCTAAGGGATATATACAATTGAAATTCATCGCAGCTCAATGCTGCCAGGAATACCTGTATTGAGTAACACATAGTGAGTTATTCTTGTCCTCGGAGAAAGTGTGCTTATACTGAGGTTCGTTCCACCTGACTGACAACTGTACATTGGATTGTTACGATTTGATATCTCTTTAGTGTTTCTTATATCAAGAATGGGAATGCATAAGGGATAAACAATTGAAGGAAAAATACACAAGTCTATAAAAAAAATTAAAATAGTCTTTGAAAAGGCGAAATTTAAAACTGTAAAAGTGTTGTACCAGGTGGATTCGAACCCCCGACTTTAAAAAGAGAGTATCCAAGGTGTAAAAAGTCAGCGCATATATCAACTGAGCTAGGCTGACTATAAACATGAATGGCATAAATTTAGAAATCTGGTTTCCTTATTATACCCCCCGCTTGAAAAGTGGGAGGGTATATAGTAATCGTTAATTCCGTCCGTCCGTCCGTCTGTACGTCCGTCCGTCCGTCTGTCCGTCCGTCCGTCTGTTACGCTTTGGGGTACCCATCTCTTATCCGCAACTCCTCTAATACCACTGAATGAAATTTGATGAAACTTTCACAGAATCTTTATTACATATTGCCATTGTGCACCTCCTATTTTACTTTTTGATCCGACACATATTTTGAGTTTCCCGGCCACAGGAAAACATGGACTTTTTCACCAGTTATAACCATATGGGAGGCGGGGGGTATCATTTAGTGAGCTCATCGCTCACAGTACCTCTAGTTTTTTGTAGGTTTTTTGTGAATTTCGACCGCAGGGCAGGGGTGCCCCTAAAAAAATCTTATCTTAAATTATTCCTTACATCCTAACATATCAAAATATCATTATTTTATTTAGGGGCAGGCCTGCCCTGATGGACTTTAAGGCCAAAATTCATGCAAAAATCAACGCTTTAAAGGACAAAATGGTGTTTCGATCAACTTTGGAGGATTATTGTAAAGTTGTAAATAATAAATTTTAGGTATAAAATACAAATTTAAAAAATTTACACATATATACGGTAGAAAACAACAAATAAAAATTGATTTTTAAATGTCACTTTTTCCGGGAAATTGTTCTCTCCTATAGGTCAATTCTTTTGTTAAAGCGAATACATCCTTTGAATATGAAAACTCCAATCAATTAAGAGGAGTCACATTTAATTCTTGACATGAACTGTGCACAGAAAGGGACTTTAAAAATCATATGCCATCATAATTTTAATTTTACTCACATTTTTCACTCTGTCGCTAGGGCAACGACTGAGCACAAGGTACCACCACATGTCACGTGACGAACTAAACTTCTGCTTGTCCTGACACTCCACGTACTGAACCCCACTGATCGTTATGTACTTACAGCCAGAGTACGAATTCAGGGGGTTGAGGGGAAGAATCTGCCCCCGTGAGATGTCCAAAACAGCCTTCTTCTGCTCGCAGGTCTGAACAAATAAAAAAAATAAAGTGAAATCACTTGAAACTCACAAAAGACTGAAATATGAGTCAAATAACAAGAATTATCCTATGACATTTTGTATTGATAAACTTCGCCTTGGTATCAATGCAAAATGTCTTTTTACACGAAAAGTAAATTATTTTAAATTTACAAGAGGCCCAAGGGCCACATCGCTCACCATATTTCAAAGTAAAACATGGATTCCGGATCCCTTTTGTTGCCGCACCCTACCCCCTCGGTCATGATTTTTATAATTTAAAATCTACACTAACAAGGATGTTTCCATAAAAGTTTCAGTTTTTCTTTTTAATGACCCTTCTCCATTTTTGTCTTTTCTTGGTTATCTCCCCTCGTAAGGGAACTTGGCCCTTCGTTTTAATAAGACATATGGAAATAACGAACAGTATTCAAGATCAAAAGTCCATTAAACAATACAAAATAGGAACAGAGTAAACATCAGAGGTGGGATCAGGTGTCATGGAGGAGTGAGCTTTCCTGCCGACCGGTCACATCCGCCGTGTGCTCCTTAATTGTCATGATCAGGAAATAACGGAACAATCCGTCGTCAATTCAGTGTATAAATAATGGACTAAACAATTATTATGAAAAACGTCAGTCAGCATTTGACTCAATAATAAATTGTATGGCTGATAAAGTCATGCATTGTATCGACCAAAGAACTTACGAAATGATGACTTAAAAGAAGCTGCTGATATTCTTGTTTCATCAACTTATTTGTCAATAATTTACCTCGTTTGAGATATTGTACATTCATGTACATGTACATAGAGCCTGCTCTTGCGCATCGAATCAACTGAGATATATAAACTCCGTATGCAGGTGATGAAGGTATATTGCTGCATATTAGTAAGGTAAGTTGTCAATTGTAAAGTAAAAGTCTTCACTTTTATCACACACATGCTAGGTTGTTAGATTACCATGAACGCCTTTATTAAGTAAAATATCAAAATATGAAACAGATGTGCAAGACTCAGTGGTATCTTTTAACTCAAGCTTACCTGGATGTATCGTATCGACATAAGAATGGAAACTGCCATTGTTAATTGACAATACGTCGTCGATATATCTAAATGTCGAGTTTTCTAACAATTTAACCCCCCCCCCCCTTCACCCAAAAAAGTGTTGTACCAAGTTTGGTTAGAATTGGCTATTATTAGGTACGTGTATATTTTTTTATTAAAAGAAAAATAAGTAACGTCAGGTGTTTATTATTAGGTATGTGTATATTTTTTTATTAAAAGAAAAATAAGTAACGTCAGGTGCCTGTGATTCTACGCTATTTCAAATTATGCAAAATGTAATAGTGTTAAAATTCAAAAGTACAAAATGTAATGATCCCAGTTTATTACACTAGGTCCCCTATTACACTTTTCGTCGTGACAACGGGGATATATTTATAGTTTATCTTACCTTACTGGAGCTTGGGTAGACGCTCTCCCATATAGTTGGTCGATCATAGTAAAACAAAAGGTGCTGTCTTTCATACGACTGAAAAATTCAAGGGAAAAAATAAAGGCTACATACATAGCTTCCTTTGTAAACAAAAAGAATGGTGGGATTATTTTCTGATTATAAAAAAAAAAAATGTTAAAGCAGTCATGTAATTTACCATTGGAAACTGGATGTAATAATCCAATTGACCATTTTTGCTCATGTAACAGAATCTGCTCAAGAAGACCCAGTCCTGAAAAACAAGAGAAGGCTAAACAGTGGAGTATCGATTCTATGCTACATGTATCATTAGTACAATTCTCTGTTAGCCTTGGACTTTTAGTAAGGCGTTGTATTCTCGGCGTTACATAATAAGGCGACGAAATATTACACAGCTTTTCATTCACTGTTAAAATATACATTCCGGCGAATGTCAACCAGTGTACCAATGATCCGATGATAGCGTTTCGTGCGGCAGAGAGGTGGTGCTTAACACGTCTCATCCACAGGTGCTCGTGGACAGGATTATCCCTACCCCCCCCTAACCTTTTTTCAATATTAAAAAAAAAATCTGATTTTTTTTTCTTTATTTCTAATCTCTGTTACAGTATATATACGTGAAACGACTGTGAATAGAAATTGCATATGATTGATATATTTCTGTGATTTTCAAATAGAAACATATAGATTAAGTTGTCAGAGATTAGAAATATAGAAAAAAAATCAGATTTTTTTTAATATTAAAAAAAGGTTGGGGGGGGGTAGGGATAATCCTGTCCACGAGCACGTGTGGTCTCATCGTTGTCAACAACAATTTAAAGTTGCTGATATAATTAATTTCTTAAACAATGAGAATCCATTCGTCATTTGAGGGACGTTAATAACGTAGTGTTGAGAAAGTCACGCCCTTCTGAAAGTCCAAGGTTTGGTTAACTGAGAATCGTACTAATTTATAATTGCTGATGTAAAATATCAATGGGGTGTATATATCTAATGCTTGAAAAAACTCATTAGAGTAAAACGGCCGATTGCTTAGTAAAGACAAATGGAATCAACGTTTTTTTTTGTTTTGTTTTTTTTTTTCAATAATAATAGCAGTAATCAATTGCAAACAAACTGCAAGCATGATTGAGTGCTAATAAAAGTAAACTTATTAGTAAACAAAAACATGACTACGCTTCTCTGTCTAAAAAACTGAATTTTCGAAGCACTTAACTAATGCTTAATTATTTACCCCTCTGTTATACAGTTAGCATGATTGTCCCAATTCACTGAGTGTTTATGAATGTATTGTATTCCTGTTTTCTCTGTACATGTACATTCTTTTTTTTTCTCTCATTCAATTTCATATCAAATTTCGTAATTTTTCCTTCATACCGTCCTTTCTAATAGATTTATTTAAGCAATATTTTAGATCTATGAGAAAATATTCGGCTTCTCTGTCATGAACAGGCAAGATCCGTTTCTCAAATTGTACAGTGCGTTTAGTCATCATAAAAAAATATTGCACCCCCCCCCCCCACCAACAAACGACTGAACCTACGACATGTAGATAATTTACGTGTGGTTTCTCGAATCTGCACTTGTAAGAGCTAGCCCTTGACATACAGAGACGGCAAGTACATCAAATGTCTTTGTAGCTGAAAGTTAAACAAATTTGCATGCATTTTTAAGACAAAAATTAATCATAAAATCTGGGAAAGATTGTCCAAAGAAATGTAAATTTAGTTTGTGATGATTCAAGCTGTCAAGTCATGAGTATACACGCTTTGTTTGTCAAAAGAATTTAGTTGAACGATGCATAAATATTAATATTTGCTCTCCATCAGATGAATACAGATTATATATCATCTCCCTTGTTCTGAATTAGTGACCCTTATTTCACAATACTACAAGCTTTTTATTGTCTGTAGACGTTTAAAAATACTCCAAGATCGATAAAATAAATTTCCTATTTTCCCAATCACTTCTATATTGTGGTTGATTGCAAATCGTGATTTGGGCTTTTAAATGAACCTCTCTCTCTCCATATGACTGAAAATTTTTGAGAGGAACGTTAAACAAGTCTCTCTCTCTCTCTCTCTCTCTCTCTCTCTCTCTCTCTCTCTCTCTCTCATCGATTGTTAATCTTATTTTCACCCCCCAAAAATACGTGACTTTATAAATATGCATGCACACATTTTGAAATACCAGACTTTATGAAAGATGTGCAGGAAATTTTTGTAGAGATTTTCGGAACATTTTATTGATAAATTTCTAATATCTAAAAGATGGATCGGAAAATAAGCCCGGACTTTCTAATCTCAGTTTTTTCCAACCAAAACAAATTATTAAGCAATTGGTCATTTCAACCTCAATAAGACAGCATTTAATCAGGATCAAACATCCTTTGTGGAGATTAAAGACCACATTCAAATCAGTTGCATAACTACGTTGTTCTGAAGAACAGATTGGTCTTTAACAATGGTTATCCCCTTTTATACGTTTAGATATATGAACCTCTTTGTGTATTCAAATATGTAACCATCTTTTTATCCTTTCTATAATGCTAATAAAGCAGGATTGAAGCTTGGGATTTTTCAATAAAAGTTTCAACGGAGACATTTAAATGTTTACCAGTGAAATACGAAAAACTATATAAATGTTTCTCATTTGTATATTTTCCCTGGTACTATATGAAGTGACCTAGATAGCTGATCAAGAGTTAATTGTGTCCTAGCTATATGTAACCAATCCTCTGTCCTATACTGCAGGGGTGAATGCTATATTCACAAAACACAGTGATATCTTATACTCTGCTTGACTTAACTGCAGCTGCTACCCCAATATTAAATTATGTACTAAACCCATCTTCCTAAACTGCAGGGAGAGGTCCGATTTCTCCAAACCTGATGGTGGAAAGCTTCTGTTTTACGCTAAAGAAGGGTCAAGACTCTGTGTTCTCTACGGGACACAAAAACTCGACCTTTTTTCATACTGTGACTGTTTTGAACAAATCGTTCTTTCCTACACCACAGAGCGCGATCAGAACCTTTTCCTATATAAGTTCTTAACCTTTTTGTCTAATTCACTTTAATAAAACGTAATCGAAGTTCTCTGTCCTCAACATTTGGGGAATGAGAAAGTGAAGATAACGCAGTGATCGATCTCAAAAAATCTACAAATAATAGAAATCTTTAAACAAGGCAAAAAACGGACCCCCAGAAATGTCGATGTGGGATTAGGTGCCTAGAAGATAAAGCATCCCCTGTCGACAATGTACACCCACCGCGAACCCTTTATATTGAACAGATAGACGGAAAATTAATATAAAAACAAAAGGCTTACAATGGTATGAAAAACGCCAGCAAAACTCTGACCCAGTGATAGGCTGTATAAGAACCATAGAATTTACGAAATGTTGACTTTGAAGGAAGTTGTTGAACTCCATGTAAGATAAACTTATCTGTCAGTAGTCTGTCTCTGTTTAGAAAAATTGCTTGTTTTCAGAACCTGCTCGTGATTTTCTTTAAAATAAAAAATAAGTTGGGAGTCGTAAAAACTAGATGCAGGTGATAGCCGAATATTACAATTCAGTTGTGAAGTGTCCAAAACTTTGTCCTACACTATAGCACATGATCTAAACTTGTCCGTTAGTCTTCAGAACGTTATCAAACCCTCGGTACTACAATACCGGAAATGATCAAGCCTTCCATCCAATAAACTCTAGGACATTATCTATTTTTTCCGACAATACAGGACATCATTCAAACCTTATGGTTATTTTACATGTCAATTTTAAGATGTATTGCCAAACGTACTCTAGACACATCCTGAATCAGGTCAAATTCCTCTCTCCTGTACCTAATTTGGTGACAACTCCTCTTTTTTCAACTCTCTCTCTCTCTCTCTCTCGTTAATGAGTTAATCCCTTGTCCTTTCTTTTTCATCAAGGAAAGTGGTTTTACTGTTGGTATCTTTAATTTTTTGAATGGTTTATTTATTTGAAAGCAGTGTGTTTATGTCTCAAGTTCAAAGCGGATTATTAAGGAACGTCCTTGAAGATAAATCAAAGCATTATAAAAATGGTCACTGTTCTTCTTATTTTGTTTGTTAAGGTATTAAGTTAAAATTTTAAGATTTATTTCGATATTTGTGAAATTCCAATATATAAATAATTTATGTTCTCTACTTGTTACTTGTTTATGGCAACTTGTCAATTCTTTATAGTCTCAGAAATCTTTAATATTTTATGAGACTATACTTAAGAGAATAAAACAAAAGAGCCTGTCGCCATTCAGTGTATTTGAACAGTTTAGGTCGGTCAATATGTTTTCTAGATCCTACTTGAGGATAAAGATAGACTGTCCGTTTTTATGACCAGCCATATCCAACATAAAAATCGCATGGTCGGGGGAAGGGGGGGGGGAGGTGGTTCACGGCCTTTGTTTTAAATCATCTTAATTGTCTATCAACTAGCTATAGAGATCTTAATGTAACAATATAATTTATGCATTTTCATACACTAGCATCGTGTTGGTGTTATCTAGCATTGTTCTAGTGAAACAGTATTTTGGATAAAGGCTTGATTGAAGAGTTATCTTTGAGAGGTGAACTGGTAAATGTAACATAATGACAATCTTATATTACTGAAAATCTTACCTCTGAAGTCACTATACTGCCATCTACTCGCAGACTTAAAACGCCATTCCAAGAAACAGCAGCATAAAACAACACCACAATGGTCAATTTAAAAGCTGTGTCGGCCATATTTAGTATCTATGTACAAAAACGATAACACTACCACATCACCCAGATAAATTACAATCCCATCAGCTAAATTCCTCCAATGTTTGGTGTACTATAAACCTATAAAATCATACTTTATTCCTTAGGCTCACACAGAATCTAGTATTTTACCGAGGATTATTTCCAATACAAACGTGTTTAGGCATTAAACATTATTAAACATGTTAAAGGTAGAATGGCATTATTGATTTGTGCTTTTGGGACTGAATGGGGTTCCCACAGGTGAAAATCGATTGACTGGGTGGAATGATCCAATATACAAATTAGCAAATTCTCTTAAATAAAATCAATAAATCTTTTAATCTCAATAGGTTCGGCACGTAAACAGGCAAATAACATACCCTTCCCTTCCTTTCAAGTAAATATTCTCACAACTATGCACTTAAATTGTTGTTGTTATGTATAACAGTTCAGAAAATTAAAATCATTACATTATGCAGATACGTTTGGTTATATCAATTATAAAATTTGGAAAGATATTAGCTAAATTTATTACCTAAAAGGGGGGTCAGAATTATTGTCAGGTGAATATTATTAAACTTTCATTACCCGAAATAAATAAAGGACAGATATTTTTTTTTAAATATCACTAGGTCATTCTAGATGTATCTCACTAAAAATTACCCTTTGGTGCCCCGTTTAAAAACCCCGTTAAATTCGATACACATTCTGCACTCTGCATAATCATGCATCTATAGAATTCCAATCACGAAAATATATGTTTTGAAATGGAGCTTTTTAAAAACAGAAAATCTCTACGGTGTCTACATCTTGCCATGGTTTAAAGATTTAGGAAATACGAAAAGGAAAGTGCAGTGGAAATGACAACCTATCTGCTAAATGGTGAATCCAGTAAAAACTGAAATGTTTGATTTGTACATTGTCAATCATTTTAATAACGCACTAATCTGAATTAAAGCTCAATTTTTAGCCCATATGTGTACAAAATCTGTTTTTTTTAACGCTGTGGGGGTCATTAATTTAATCAATCAACTATTAAATCAACTCAATGACTGAAAATTGAACAAAAAAGCATAAGAATGAATAAAACAGTTTATTGGAATGAAAATCAAAATAGATATATTTAAAATCTGACAAGAAATGTAACAGGAACAAGCTTCTTTTCAGACTGAGGGGACTAGAGACATTTGAAATGTGGATATAGTAAATACAAGACATGAAATCAAACACTGGAACTTAACATTCAAGTATTAAATAACAAGTACACCTCACAATAATATGTAAAACAATGCTTTGCTCAATTTAGTTTCAAATTTTTCTTAAAAATTGATAACTAAGTTGATACAAAAACAGCATTCATGCAAAATAATTTAATATGCTATCGATATAACAGATATATTTGGAAAATCAAAAGCAACAGCAGAAAGAGAACATGTACAAGTAGGAATACAAAGAAAAACAGTGTATAAAAAGCAACAATAATACTTCTTATTACCAAATGTAGGACGGAATGCAAAGCACATAAAATAAAATCACAGATCTGTAAATGTAAGGTTTTAAAAAAAGTCCATTAAAAAAACTACATTAGCAAAGATAAACAATGAAAAATGAAAACTTCATAATAAATAGCATGTAAAAGACATACCCTGTATTTTCAAAATAAATAATTCTTTTATATTCATGTATATATAAATAAACAACTTATTCATCTCTGAACAATAAATACATAAAAAATAATCTATAAAATTAATGTAACTGTATTATATGTTACAGCATTCATTTACATGTATATAAAGCTCCTTAAGAATAATTTGTATTTATAAATTTCAAACCAAGGATATGAAAAGCAGCCATGTGTATAAATCTGAGCAATCACTTTAACAATTAAGTCACAAGATCAAGATTGTGATCATGAATACAAGACTTGCACAAATAATTTTCTAGGAATTACGGCATTCAATGTTTCTTAATTCTTTTCCAAACAGAAATTACCAAAGGAAAAAAATCAATAAACATGCAGACATTAAAAAATGGATAATGAAAAAGTATTTGTATTCCCACTTTTCAACATACACTAGCTTAAATTGCTTTCTCACTTAAAAAATGCTGCAGTTACTAGCAGCACATATAATTGTGTTATTGTAGATTAATACATCATGTGATTAACTCTCTGTACAGTGAACTGTTAGTGATAGCCTAACAATGTACAGCCATCCATTCTCTATCTGGAAATAAATCAGCAATACTTTTCAGGTAACTCAACATTCTAAAGAGCAGTGTCCTCTTTGAATTACACAGCTTTTCATTAATACATTTATAAGTGTTAGTAGCATGAAAACAATATGTTTATTTTTCTCCGATGGTGAAAAGGGCCGCTGTCCCGTGTGGTGAGGAAGGTTCAGAGGACATGTCTGACCCCAGGGATGTGGAGGTCATTGTATTACGTCTGATAGGTGGCAGCACCGCTCCGCTGGGCCGACGTACAATATTATCACTGTGTCGCCTGGAATTCTGAAAAATAGATCAGAAAATTGCAAAAATCTTTTTTATATGAAGAAAGTACTTTTGTGAATAAAATTTTCCTTATATAATCTATAAATTATTTGGACTCGCAAGAAGTCTGAATTCTTTGTACAATATACGTACCATGACACTATTATACGAGGGAGGAGCACCGCTCTCCACTCTGATGGCGGTGTCTGGGAATTCGCTGTAGCTCTCGTTAGGCACCAATCTGTCTGTACTGCGGGAGTTGGAGGTTATAAAGAGGCTGGAGAAATCGGGGGCCTTAGAGTCGACGGAAGTCCTCCTACTGTTGGGGTCCTCGGCGTAGGGGTGAGAGCTGAAGCTGTCCAGCTCACTGTCCCCTGTACCCATTAGCGAGCCAATCTATACATAGATAGAACATCATTATTATGCTATAATTCAAGGTATCATAACATTAACACAGAACGGGTTATTTTAGCGGGGTGCGTAGGGGTGAGAGCTGAAGCTGTCCAGCTCACTGTCCCCTGTCCCCACTAACGACCCAATCTATACACAGATGGGACATAATCAATGCATTATAAACTCAAGGTACGTATCATATGCATGAGAGAGACTGACATCTCTTCTAAAGCATAGAATGCTACGTCATCCAAGAATTATTGTATGGACAAGCTTTCAATTGTTCCTGATATCATCTTTTTACTAGTGAATAATATAGAAATTGTATAGCAATCTAACCAGTTTTACTTCAGTTTGACAAAAATTGCGCTGATCTATTGTTCTTACTCCAAATTCTTGTTTTCACACTTAGCTCACCTGAGTTGTTCTGACATGGTAAGGGAAGTTCTTGTTGGCAGCTTGTGGCCTTGTCAGTATCTAATGGAAACAATCATAAAGTGTTCAACTGAGATAAAGTACCGGTATATATATATTTTCATGAAGAAATCTCTGGTTATGAGGATTAAGTTTTTCTTTACTTATAAAAAATTATCAATTGAATTATGTATATCATGACAAATGCAATTTTAAAAAATACAGTTACAATATATTTGATATTTATAGTACTCTACTGTCCAGTATGTAGTGTATAAGCCCATGAAGGGAATTGCTAAAAATTGAATTGGATACAGCACAAAATCCACCATATAAGAAAAGACTTCACATGTGAATTATGCACATATCAAATATTACTATCTATGTAAGCTCAGTGGGGCATCAGAATTTGATTTTCACTACAAAATTTATATTCAGATGTATTTATGATAAAAAAGTTTTACATTAAAAATGAAAGTCATATTAAAGAAAAATATTATGATGCTCATAAAATAACTTTTGATGCAGAAAGATTTGAAGAATATGTTTCTAAAAAGTGTTATTTTAAACTAACCAATAGTCGAAGCAGTTAGTTCTATATGTAAAATAACTAAACATAGATAAGTTTATACTTACTAAGAAGAACAAGTGGCTAAGAAGTTCAACAAAGAGATTTACACTATGAATGGTCTTAGCTCGGATCCACTTATCTATGGCAAAAGCAGCACACAGTGATGTGATGGGGCCAAGCCAGAACCTTAATCAGGGGAGGCAAGCAGGGATTAGACAGTTATAAAGCAGTAATGTTGCCTGTTTGCTAGCTAAAATCTAAGTTATAATAACTAAAATGTTAGCTATTAGCTAATTCATTTACAAACTAATATCTAAAAAAGAAAAAAAAAATGAATGAATAAGCAGAAATATGTTAACAATCAACTCAACATGTCCTCAAAAAGCATTAATGTTGCCGGTTGGCTAGCTAAAATCTAAGTTATAACTAACTAATGTTTAGCTATTAGCTAATTTTTTATTAACCAATTAATAACTAAACAAGAAAATATATGAATCAATAAGCAGAAATATATTAATATGTTCTCAATAACTAAAAAAGGTACAAATATGTAAGATAAATAAAAAATATACTGGTAATAACAAAAACTTGTGAGCTAAAGATATGGTTTTGCACACTGCAAAATTTTAAAAACTTGAAGCATGTACGTAGCAAAGATGTGGAGTATGTTACTATAAACAAAGAAAATTGTTGTAAAAGAACACCATTTTACATTCTTCATTGTTTTTTTTTTGCATAACTTTCTCAAATTTATGGAGGTAAGGGAATTCTAAACATTGCTCAGTAAATTGCAATTCATGAAAGTTTTATGCAGGAAGAATAGTCTACCTTTTGACATTAAATGGAATAATAAACAGAAATCCAGAATACATGTAAATGACAAAATTTGAAATAGAACAAAACATGTTTTACACTATCTTTGAACAAGAGCTAAAGCCTAAAGATAACTAAAAACATTATTTTTCCCTAAGTAAGTAAGCAACAGGAATTTCTAACACCCTGTTGACTTTGAACATATTTCCTGGAGAAATATGACATGTTGTTAATGAACTTAATCAACTACTGTCACAAATATTCTGTATGTACACTTCTATGTTTCAATCTTATTTAAAGCCAATTAAGATAAAAAAAAATCACTTTTCATTTGTATTAAAGCTAATGTTATAATGGCAAATTGCTTTGTGAAATAAAAAAAAACTTAAACATAAATATAAAAGAGAATTTTGACTACATATTTACAAGCATCTACCAATGACAGCTAAAGTTAGGCCATTTCTATGAGCAAAAGTTCCTTGTTTACGAGGTTAAACATCTACATTTACCAGAGAGTTAGCTGAGATTTATACAGAGAGGCATGCTAGACTTGATTAAGCCCTATATATTAGGAGATGCTTTCTAGACTAAGCTCTATATAGAGAGGCTTGCTAAACTTGCTATACTCTTACCAAAAAGAAAATGTGTCCACAAAATGCGACAAGATTTTCTACCCCTACAACAGTTTTTTCTCTGACCCAGAGATCCATGACTGTTAGAGCTATTACAGCTACAATGGGACTTGCCCAAAACCTTAAAAAAAATCCCAAGTCTCATTTTAGCAGGTATATACCTCCACTAAAATATTCAAATAATCTATTTTCAAAAATTATCCAATACATGCATTTTTAACCAGTCAAAATAAGGCCTAGATAAATAAAATAAAGTTTCCTTTTTTCAACCTACTGAAAATCTAAGGGGTAGGTACCGGTAGGTAGGAAGATCATTTTATTTCAACATTTTATTATTTCACAATAAGAAACAATATGAGAAACAATGTTCACTTTTTTCTCCCAAAAGGGACGCATGACCTATTGTGTCATTTTCCCATGTAAATTGCTTGCGTGTATATATAGAATGCAGGGTTCTCCACAAGGGGTTTTACCATGGCGGCCCGCCATGGTTAAATTTATGTGCGCCATGGTTAAACGAGCTGCGCCATGGTTAAAATCGGCAGCCGCCATGATTAAATTCTGTTGCATTTCAGTACTGACACTTACTCTTTTAATGACTTGAGTAGTTAATTGTGTTTATACTCCAACTGCTATGCACCTCTAGAGAAAGCCAGGCCGTGCTAAAACAAACACTGTCGTTTAATCGGCGGCTATGCTGTGAAGCATAACAATGGAGAGTCAATCAGCTGATGATCAATATTTTGAGATTTAATTATCCTGTACACATGTAAATAATTTTGGGGAACTTTGATCAACATGTTCACTATTATTAGATACCGGATTTATAAAAGATGACAATTATGAACATGATAATCGTCATGCATGCCATTCAACTTTCTTACTGTGGAAGAAAAAATACTACCGGATACTCTTTCAAAATTTCATATTCCTTTGTATTTAATTTAATCAATTCCCCATGTTCCGTTTTTTTTTTTTAAGTTTTAAATTTATTGTTTTTCTGATAAAATTTACATAGGGCCTTCGTGTCAATCGCCATCTTAGTTTTAGAGTTACTTCCCGTTGTTATGAAATGTCGCGTGGCGCTATTTTTAACACTGGGACACGTGGAGAGGTAAACAAAGGAGTAAACCTGGTGAAAAATGCAATATCTAGAAAAATAGAAAGTTTAGAATAAAGGACACTGGTCCAAAAGTTCGTTTGTGGGTTCACTTAAAAAAATACTTCCCATTCATCAGTTTTAATCATATTTTAAAAACAAAACGTTTCATACAACAGGCTATTAGTTTCTGAATAATATTGCCATGGTAACTGTATCAAAAGTTTACCTTAGTTTTGGGCAAATTTTGATACATTTGTAAAGTAAAATACATAATCCTTTTTATTTCAATTTAATTATGTTTTTTAGCTTTAAAAAGTGTTGCTTATTTCAAAGTTTTGTGTTGCAGTGGTTAAGTTTAAAAAATGTAAAACCAATGAATCATTGATTAATGAAGTTAATAGGAAGTCTAACAAAAATTCGCAGCTTCCTCCATGGTTAAATTTTCAAATGTGGAGAACCCTGGAATGTGTGCATGTTCTGTAAAGCACAGAAAAGATTGGTATATAAAATTTCTAATTGTTTGCTTCAAGAAAGTATTTGTGAGAAATAAACTGAAGGGTCTGCTCATGTACAACAAGGCCAGTCAGGGACACTGAGAAACAAAAGAATTTATTTATCTAGGCCTAATGGTATCTCTCTTAGACTAAATACCTTCAAATAAATTAAAAAGCATTAATAAGTAGCAGTGAATTTATAACAAAAATGCAAAAGTAACTGCTTACCAAACAGTATAGAAGATGAAGAATGGGTAATAGAACATGGCTTTTGACTTGTAATGTTTGAGGGTGAAGAATACAGAGTAACAGAACCAGGCCCAGCCCAGGAGTCGCATGGTGATCAGTCCGTACCCCGGGGGGCTCTCATACAGGTACAGAACCTCACCTGGGTCAAACACCTGAAAGGTATTGGAGAATAAAATCAGAAAGTTTGTTAACCTCATACATTGGTGCAATTTTTCCTAAAAGATAATTGATTTTTCTCTTACCAAAGCCTCGTAGATAAACAGGATAACAAAGGTGACAAAGTAAAGGGTAAAGAAGACGGAGATTTTTATTGTACTGGCTGATGTCAGCTTTCCTCTAGTGATTGTGTAGCCCTTCGCCATCAGAATCAACAGTAGAATAAAGGTCAGGTAACTCAGGGTCCCAAATCCTCGCGCTGAAAAGAAAATAAACAAGTAAGAGTTGTTTCCCTTTAAAACACAATCTTCACAGTGAGGTGAAATGATAAGTACAATATCCTAAATCAACTGATGATGAGCTAAGTTCTTTGATAAAAGGAAATTCATCAGCATATATATAATGAATATTTTTTGATAAACACGAAATTCATTTAAGAAAAAGTTTTACTTTAGATTTGTCATTCATCAATTTCCCTTTTCATAGTAGAGACAAGGCATGATTGCTAGCCTTCCTGTGATTTCTGTTACCATATGCTGGCATTGGCTTATTTTTCCATAAGGTATACTGTTTACCATGAGATTATTACCTGCTCTCGTCTCTTTGTAGCCAGTGTTTGCGTACTTTCCATACACTATGACTGTATAACATGAGACTTATTACCTACGTATTCCATTCCTGTCTCTTTGTAATGTGTTGGCATATTTTCCGTAGGCTATGCTGTATAACATGAGACTTATTACCTGCATATTCTGTTCCTGTCTCTTCGTAGCCTGTGTTGGCGTATTTTCCGTACATTATGCTGTATAACATGAGACTTATTACCTGCATATTCTGTTCCTGTCTCTCTGTAATGTGTTGGCATATTTTCCGTATGTTATGCTGTATAACATTAGAATTGTTACCTACGTATTCCATTCCTGTCTCTTTGTAGCCTGTGTTGGCGTATTTTCCGTACGTTATGCTGTATAACAGGAGACTTATTACCTGCATATTCTGTTCCCCTCTCTTTGTATCCAGTGTTGGCGTACTTTCCGTACGCTATGCTGTATAACATTAGAATTATTACCTACGTATTCCATTCCTGTCTCTCTCTGGGTTTTTTAGCCTGTGTTGGACGTATGGTTCTAAAAAGCACAATATAGCTGTAACAAAAAAATAATCAAGGCATCATTATTGAAATAGTTTCTTTATTGAAGTATTTTTTCTCAATTTTTTTTTTTAACTTTTACACATAAGGTTATCAATGAACCTTAAATAAGTTTCACTGAAATGATACCCTAAATTCTTTGGATTTAATAATCCAGTATTTCTTGCATTAATAATTACTCGAAAATAACTTTCCGTACGCTATGCTGTATAACATGAGACTGAAGGTCCAGAGGCCAAGAGACACCATGTACATCTTGTAGGTCGTGTGGAACAACTGTCTCTGTCTCAGCAAGTCTGTCAAACAGTTACATAAATAATCAATACCTAATCATTCACCAATATTCCTCAGAAAACTTTTTATAGAGTGCAAATCTGTCTCTGGGTTTTTTCTGCCATATTTTTTGAAAAAATCATGCAACTAGGACTTGAAAGTGGTTCTAAAAAGCACAATATAGCTGTAACAAAAAAATAATCAAGGCATCATTATTGAAATAGTTTCTTTATTGAAGTATTTTTTCTCAATTTTTTTTTTTCAATTTTTTTTTTTTTAAGTTTTACACATAAGGTTATCAATGAACCTTAAATAAGTTTCATTGAAATGATATGTTAAAAGATTTGTTCCAATATTGTATTTTTGAAGTCCTAAAAAATCAATAACCGATGTTAACAGGTTTTCTATTAGAGTTTATTTATAACTTGAACATCCTCTTTTTAAACTTGTCAGGTGCTTTAAATATTGACCAGACTAGCTGAGTATAATATTTCTATACTTACGTGCAAACAATATGGACACACCCAAAACTATGACATACATAATGGTAAAGGAGATATCAATAGGCAGGATATCTACAAAACAAACAATACACTCTCTATGAGACCTGTATCAAAAGGTATGGAGTGGTAATCAACAATTGAACAGACTTAATAAAAATCTCAAAGTTCTGAAAATCAATAAATCAAAGAGTGGAGTACATACAAAATTCATCAGCTGAGAATTCATGTCTTAGAATATCATCATCTTTAGCATTGGTCATATGTAGTGAGTATTTTAGGTTCAAACCAGTAGTTCCCTAAAAGAGAAACAAGCTTAAAAGATTTTGATCTGAGATTATGAAATGATAAGAGTAAGACTAATTCATTCTTATTTCTCCTTTCCATAATTTAAGGAGTTAAAATTTAGGGACTAAGTGGGCTCCTGCTGATTAAGTTTTGACAATCAACAGTACACTGAGAAAAATAAGTAAAATATGTTTAACGGATTAGGTCATTGCACTGACATCCTTATATGAGTGAAACAGCTTAATTGTTTTCTTCAATCAAAATATACGTATCATATCTGAAATAATTAATCTGCACCGATACAAAATTAAATGATATGTTTTTTATCATAAAGGAGTCATATCATTTCACCCCCTAGATCCTTAAATTTTAATAGAGAAAACCATACATCCTTTGCAGTAATCTGAGTACAATTAGTTCTTAAGATATGACTATTTGTCCATCTCAGACCACTGGAGACTGAGACTTCTTGTCCCACGTACCACTTGGGTTTTATAGGACGTTTGTTTATATTAACTGTATATACCTGTATTTCAGTACTTACTGTTGTTCCTGGGTCACAGCGACTTATGGCAATGAACCACCATCGTTCCCTTGACGACCTGAATGTACGACCTCCAGTGCATTTGACCTTGGTGACCCCATTCTCTGTGACCTCTTTGCACCCAGACCAGGTATAAAGCGTCGAGAGTGCTATAATTTGGTTATTGGCAGGATTTAATACTGCTACTTTTTGATCACACGACTGTAAAATTAATGATTGAATTATCATATCTTAATTTACTCACCATAATACATGCACATTACTTTAAAATATACACACATGGAATAGACATACATGTCACTCGCAGTAATTTTAAGGATATGGAAATCAAAGTGCTTAAAGGAAAGGATATAGAAATGGTCACATGTGCCTGAAAATTGTACTGGTTGTAACCAATGAAATTTATTTCAATGATTGTTCTTTTAAATTCAATTCTAATGAAGAATTTTTTGGGAAGTATAACAGACATTAATTTTTATAAATAATTTAATGATAAATTTGAACCAAGAGGAATATTGGCAGACGGAGTATGGTTTTCATCTCTATGAAAAGAATTCACATACTATTTTTAACAATTAACTGGTTATTAATGGCTTAAATTGTCCAAAGACACAGCTAGATCATTTTTAACTAGACTACTTCCTCCTAAAATAAAAGTTTGAACAGGCAGAAAAAAACTGACAAATATATACCTGTGGTTACCAGATGAAGATAAATAAATATACCTGTCATTTTTAAACATCTCTACAAATATTCTAACCTGGAGATTAATAATTTCAGTGATAGAGAATATTTTCTCCATTTAATTCAGTCATATGAAATACTTTCAAGGGAGCAATTGCAAGCCATCCAGTTTAATACTTCAATCTTTATCCATCTTTACATGCAAAGTATACTCAAGTTCTTGCTAAATGTAAACAGTTTAAATATAACAACTTATGAAAATATAATATTGAAAATCCATGATGTAAGGATCATGATTAAATTTTCTGTACACAAATGAGTTATAAGAATTTAATTTTGCTTTTTTCTTTGAATGTCTTTTCCAACTAAATTGAAAATTTAAATAAAAACCAAAATCTATGGTTAATAGCACACCATATACCTGTGAGATCATCGAAATATTGTCAAGGGTGTTACATGTATGTATACATTTTCATGTCCATTGATACATAACTGGCATTATAACTGTATTGATTATCTCTTCTCTTCATGATTTTCACCAACTCTCAGACCAGCTGATCAAGTTAAACTTAAATGTTCAGATTTAAGATTCCTAATTCCTTAAGTAAGTACAATAATGAAATGTGTTTATTAGGGTTTAGCTGTCAGATCAGAGGTCTAGAATATTGATAACTCTCCAACTAAAGAAATGTTCCACAGTAAACAGGCCACTCGAATACACAGTTCAATACAGTTTTACAAATTAACATAGATTCTTTAAAGATGATAACTTTAATATGTACATCATAAAAGACCCGATGCCAGTAGACTCTGCTAATATCAATTTGAACTGCTTAGGTAGAACTCAAGTATAGGTAAATCTCTTTAAAACATTTATGGTAACTATTTGTGTCAATGCATGAGCTTTGGACGTATACCCAAAACAAAACTTAACTTAGATATTTACATGTATATGATATATGTAGGACTCTCACTCCAAAGTCTGATGGGACTCCTAACTCCGATGGTCTGCGCCAAACCCCGATGGTAGAGAAAACAATTAACATTTATGACGTCATAGTACTACTGCAGAAAAATCCAATGCCTCACCATGCCAAGGCCTGATTGATTAAAATAAATATTAAATGCAAAGATTAACCCTCATCTTTTGGATAGGTGCGAGACTAACCCTGATCAGTGGAAATATGCGTAATACTCAGAAACTGTAACCTAAATATCTTGGATGGGTGCTGGATTAATCCAAATCTGTCGAGGACTAGGCTAGTTGTGTGCGAGGACTAACCCTTATTAATGCCTTTAGTGGGTGAAAACAATGAGCAAAATCAGTAAAATTGTATACATGAGACGAATACTGATTCAATGGATTTGAATGCAGGGCAATGGCATGACGTCGGACTATTGTGACATCATAAACATTGTTTGTTCCTCCACAACATCAGACTTTGGCATATCAGACCATCGCACTTTTTAGCACAACACGTCTCATAGGAAACGAGCCATCGGACTTTGACGTCCATAAAGACAGCAAGCCATCAGGGTTTGCCGCAGACCATAGGGGTTTGGTGAGACCATCGGACTTTGGCGTCACCATCGCACTTTGGGGTCTTCAATAAATAATGTCCTGAACTGTATGACATACAATACAGACATCATATGACATTAAGCTTGACTTTTTTGTATTATTGAATCTTTAATGAATTTTTAACAATTTATGTGACCACTTTTCATCACATAGTTTTATTGTGAGAAGCTGACAAACAAAGACTATTTCAGACACTGCATTAAAAATGAAAGGAAAAGAATCAGTAAACTAGAGTGAAATTAAACGCTTCATTCAAGCTGCTGTAAAACTCGTTAAGTATCCCATAGAAATATTCACTGAAATATGTAACATTTACGGCAACCTATGTCCGTTTTATAGAAAAATGAGCAGGTGGATTTCAATGATAAAAAATTATATAATGGGCATCAAAAATAGGTACCTTCCTTGCCAAAAAAAAAATTATAACAACTATTGCACTGTTTGCCAAATTTCAACAAATAATCACTGATGATGTATGATTGACTTTAAGACACATAGCAAATTTGATAGACATCATTTCGGGGGTATTTCACACTCTTTTAAAGAAACGTTTGACAGTAAAAAAGCTTACTAGTATACTCAAAGGTCACCCAGGCCTATGTTTTTCAATCAAAGTACTGAGACAGTACTGAAAGACGGGGTCAAAATAATTTTCATGTTAGATTTCACAAATGTGATTTTTTTAAAAAGAGTTTCGATAATTTGTTTTAATTTACAAACTAAAAACAAAACTGTGAATAATATAAATTATTAAATGTATACTGGATTTTAATGTTGATGGGCCAATGGCCCATCAACATAAAATACATGTATGTCGGGGGTATGCATATAAAGATTTGATTGCTCCCCTTTGTTATGTGTACACAACCAATTTCAGTTTTTTAAAATAAAATGAATAATATTATAAATATAAAAGAAAGTTTTTTTTCTTTAAATTTCATCTCAGTACTGAAAAATGTCAAATTGGAGAATTGTTTTCATTGAGTTCATACAATAGAGTATTAAAAAAATTGATAAACAGAATACCTAAGTTAATTCCTCGCCCCTTTGATTTTATTGATTTAGTTCTGAAAGTTGTATGAAGAGCTAAACTATAAAGGATGCAAACTTGCATGCACATTTCTCTACTGAATAGACCTGGGGCAGTTGCAGATTAAATTTGGTTCAAATGGTAGGGACTGGTTTTGTATGCAAAGAACTCGGAGCAAAAAACTTAAATGAGAAACTTTTTATTTGTTTGGAAAACATTTTAGTCCCATCTGATCAAATTCCAACCACGGGTGCAAAGTTAGCCACTTGGACTGGAAATGACGAACATCGTTGCCGTTGACATCAGGAGTCAACGTCTTGGACTGTTCTTAATTCTTAATGAAGTCTTCAAAGTCGACTGGGAATGAAAAAGTTTCCGTCGTTTTATTTGTAAACAAACGAAAGCTTTCGTTGTTTTTTTGTTGGCCCAATACCAATCTTCGCTTTGGAGGCATTTCGGGCAAGTGTCTGGATACACAATGAGTAACTTGTACTTGTTTTGTTTCGAAATAAATAATCAAAGTTTTAAGAAATATTAGAACATATTACATAGTGGAGTATTACTTTCAAGTGTTTATTATCTAAATCATTACATAAAATTTTAATAAATACAATTGACTCAGTATTCGGTAAAAAAAATTCTAGTAGCGTAATCTAAACGAAGGAAATATTCCATGTAGCACTGGTTCTCTGCCCTTGATTCCAGTCGCTGCCGCTAGGAATTATTTACAAGGACGACATCACATGTAACCATATATTCAGGGTATTGTCAATATTCCACACAATTCCGATTTTAATTTAACCTTTATTAAACGCTCTGCTGGTGTAAAGAACATACGCGGCTACAAAGAGTCTGTTTTATACATAAATAACTCAGATCGTCATGAATACAATCGGTCAGCTAAAAACGGTCCTAAAATGCATCAATATAATAATAATACCCACAATTTTGCATCTTATAGTGCCATATCTGTAAGACATGCGTGAGAGACCCCTTTCTAATTTTTTAGTGCGCCATTTACAAATATTAGCGCCAATTGCAAAAGCCCAAAGTGATCCCTGTTTTTCATTTAATTTGAATAATTGCTAATTTACACACCTTTTTGAATTGTATAAATTTCACCTGGTGAACTTAATATTTTGAAGTAAACAATGGATGATGCGTACGCAGTCGTAATACTATGCCGGAAAGTACTTTGTTCACTAGTGTGTTTTACAATTAATATTTAGAGTTTTCGTATACAGAATGCTTCATTAATTTCATTTATAAAAAAGTTCATATCACTTTCTTCAGTTTGATACAGAATGTTTATATTTTGATCAAAACAATTTCTGCACTCTTTCATATAGCGTAGATTTAATTCATGTGTTATCACCACGGCTTCGGAATAAGACTCTTTGAGGGCTCTGACAGTAAACTAATAGACGGGGTCATGTGACCCCGTCTAAAAATGAGTGAAAACGACAGTGTGTAAGAATATCTTAGCAATTATTTTAAAACATAGGTAATCAGAGATTACAGAGCTCACCTCAACGAATGTCATCTTTAAGTAAGGCAAAGTCAGACAATTAACCAACGAAAAGTGTACATCCCAAAATGAAAATATTTATGCAATTTTGATCTGATACTTTGGAATAGACCTACATAAAAACCTATAAGCCTTATATTTTTTTGGTGATAGACCTGCACCCATAACTTTTATCTGGTCCATTTTGAAAAATGTATTATCAGCATCTGAAGCAAGTCCATTCGATATATCCTAAGTTGCATCATCCATGCAAGTTTTCCATTATAGGGCGCTCATAGTTACTTGGAAATGAAATCTGCATCAAAAACTAACCTTTTCACTCATCCACAAAATGTAGGTCAGATTCAGCATCCGAAGCAGGTCGGGTAGTATGCATCCTAAGATGTATCATCCATGCAAGTTAAGTCATTATAGGGCTCATAGTAACTTAGAAATGAGACCTGCACCAAAAACTTTAACCTGTTCACTCAACCGGAAAATGTAGGTCAGATTCAGCATCCTGAAGCAAGCCAGTGTGCATCCTTAGATGTATCATCCATGCAAGTTTGGTCAACATAGGGCTTATAGTTACTTGGAAATGAAACCTGCACCAAAAACTTTAACCTGTTCACTCAACCGGAAAATGAAGGTCAGATCCAGCATCCGAAGTGCATCCTTAGATGTATCATGATTCATCCATGCAAGTTTGGTCATTATAAGGCTCATAGTATCTTGGAAATGAAACCTGCACCTTAAACTTTAACCTGTTCACTCAACCGGAAAATGTAGGTCAGATTCAGCATCCGAAGCAAGCCTGGTAATATGCATCCTTAGATGTATCATCCATGCAAGTTTGGTCATTACAGTGCTCATAGTTACTTGGAAATGAGACCTGCACTAAAAACTTTCACCTGTTCTTTTAACCACAAAATGTAGGTCAGATTCAGCATCTGAAGCAAGCCTAGTAGTGTGCATTCTTCGATGTATCATCCATGCAAGTCAACATAGGGCTTATAGTTACTTGGAAATGAGACCTGCACCAAAAACATTAACCTGTTCACTCAACCAGTCAATGTAGGTCAGATTCAGCATTCAAAGCAAGTCCGGTAGTGTACATCCTTAGGTGTATCATCCTTGCAAGTTTGGTCAACACAGGGCTTATAGTTCCTTGAAAATAAGACCTACACCAACAAGAGGCCCAGAAGCCACAGCGCTCACCTGAGCACATCAGCTAGGTAAAAGCAAAAATTAGTTCAGTATTAAAAAGTTTAAATAGTACATTATAAAAATGACATAAAAATTTCCCACAATCTGCAGATTTACTGGTCCACTTCCCAATTGATTTTGTTGCTGTTCCCAAAATAGCACCAATCTGTCAGTGCTTTACATATTCCAAAATAAGTGGTTCATATGTACAGGTACCTGAACAATAGGTACACTTTGTTGAGACTTGAAATAATCTAAACAAAATGCCTCTGAAGGGAATGGTGCTCTACTGGTTGTCCTTAACTAATTACATGTAGGTATAAGATAAATAAAGAAATAAAAGAGATCACCAGCCCCAAATCCACCTTCAAACTTGATAAATATGCATTATAAACTATTTGTAGTTATAAATCAAACCAAAATATTGAAATGATTAGATGATGGTCTTTGTCACAAATTGTCTCTTAAAACACTTACCAAAGATTTTTTATATACAGATTCCCACTGACTAGCTTCATCAAAGTACAGCAATACATTCTGTGTCTTGTATTCCTGTAAAGTAACAAAGTATAGCAATACATTCTGTATTTTATATTCCTGTAAAATAACAAAGTACAGCAATACATTCTGTGTTTTGTATTCCTGTAAAATTATAAAGTACAGCAGTACATTCTGTGTTTTATATTCCTGTAAAATAACAAAGTACATGTAGCAATACATTCTGTGTTTTATACCCCCTAAAATCATATTAATTCTTTAAATGTATTTAATGGAAATAGACTTTTCATGATGTATTGAATTAATGCTAAGGCAAGGATTATTTGTTTTCAAAATATGTGCTTGTATCTCACTTGCTCAAATAATCAGCAATTGATTACAAACATGTACTATAAAGTAACCTTACTCTATCAATAATTAGGCATCAAATGTAAAATTGCACTAGTATGCATCACTAGATGTACCTTCTACAAATTCGAAAAAAATAAGCAACAATTTATGCTACAAGTACTTTCTATCTATTTATCCAATATCCATATAAAGAAAATGTACATGTTGAGCAGCATAGTGTATACATGTTTAAAATTTTCATATTCAAAATGATTGAGTGAATCATTGATCAGAAATCAGAAAACACATCAATATTATTAGATACATTAATTTTTAGGGTTTCTTTTAAAAACTTTTTTTGGCACAAAATTATTAATCATTTAATTACTGCATAACTGTCGTAATACATGTAATTTTGTTTACAAGGCATTATTATTTAAGTTCCTTTACACTAACCCAAAACTTAAATTGAAAACAAAATGAAAAAAAATAGCCAGGATTAACCTTTTCCCGAGAGAACTCACGCAATCAACGATACACAGTTCTTTAACATTGACAGGGGTATAAGGAATGGTAAAATGTGCCACGTAAAGACCACTGTGTCAATCTATACAATAATCCTCTTAAAATAAGAATGAAAATTTAATCCGCTCATCAGACCAACCATAGCTATTCAATTCTACAAAGCAGTTTAACCTTAGCAATATAGCACACTGAGATCAAACCTATTTATGGAGAAAATTCTTAATACACTAATGATTATTTTGTAATTGTCCTTACACATGTTTGGAATGGTATATTTGACACATTTCAATAAGATTTCAGTTATTCAATTTGTGAAAAATAATATCAGAAAATGAATACAATTATAATCAGTAAACTTAGTAATTAAAAATAATCATTGAAAGATAAAGGTTCAGAAACATGCAATAAATCAAGACAATACATTGAACAAAATATTCACTAAGGAAGAAATCATATCTAACTTTTTATTAATACATATTCAGCACAGGGGTTCTAACTTATCTTTATCTTTTACATTATTTCTATATTAATCAAGTTATTTTAATTGAGCAACAACACCCATTGAATTAAAACAAAAAAGAATATATTTATAATTCTGTTTTTCAAATTATTATTTTTAAATTACAATTTAATTTAGTTTCAGAAAAAAATAAAACACTGAACTTACCACTGGGTATTCGAACTCAAATCTTAGCGATCCTTTGTTTGACAGAAAACAAAATCTTGCTAAAAATTCCCAGTCCTGTAAGAAAAAAAGAAGTATTTTGAACATTTCCAAATTAATGAAACTACTAAGTTTAATACGTACTTTGGAAACTTTTACACAGGCTAAACAAAATTGAAGACTTGTGTAAACAAATACAAATCTAAAATTTTCTAAACCTCTTTGGTAGAAAGTGTTCCTTCCAGCCTCAGACACTTGGCGGGAAAACTGGTTAGCAACAAGAGACAGGCTATTAGTAACAGCAGACGATCCATACCCATGATGACAGTCTCGTGATCTAACAACCCTATCTTCTGCCCACCGCCATCCGTGCCTTACTTACTGGGTATTTACACGCTTCGTCGCGTAGAGAAGAGTTAATGAAGCATGACACAGGTAAGTCGTTTAAAAAGTAAGAGTAAGTTGTGCGTCTAATAATTCGTTTTGATTATCAACCGGAGTAATTTTTATCTTTTTAAAAATGATTGATGGCCTCTATCCAAATTTAGGAAGCAAGACCTTTGACAAATTCAGTAGGACGGGGACGTGCATTACTTACATGTAATTACCTTTAATAACGAGGAGGGTCGAACAGTGAAGGATCCAGGAATCTTGAAAAAGGGGAGCCCGAGCAGTTTGGGACCGGGGCAGGGTCTACAGCTACACCCCCAACAAATAATTAATTGAATCTTATGTATATTTTGGGCACAAAAGGGGACGAGGCCCTCTCTAAATTCAGTGCCGATCCACTTCTTAGAGCCCCCCCCCTTTTAAAATAATAAATGTGTACCAGCTTTTTACTGGTTCTTGAATTCTTCTCTTCACATAATGATATATAAAAATAAGAAAATAAAGCATGGTATTAATATAATAAGAAAAGCACCACAAAGCGAAACACCGTTGCAATATGTAATGATCTTTTAAAAAGATAATATACACAAAATTAAAAAAAAAGTAATGAAATAAATAATAGAATTAATTGGACAAAAATTAACCATTTGCCAGTGATTTTACAAAATGTTTTCAATGAAATATATATAGAAAAAATAAAATTATCTTCACTATTGGCACACATCTGTACATACCATCCTCACAGCTACGTCCTAGTAAGTCAATGTCAATGTGTGCGAGGTATGAGTAGTCGTCGAGGAGTCCTGAGTGAGCATTCGATCCAAATTTCGTCACCTCCGTTTCGCACAGGACTGATAAACTCACTCATCTTAAAAAAACACACACAACACACTCACAATTTGCGTTACTAAAATCTCATCATCTCCTTTGCGGGAGGATAACACGAACAGTGGCGGATCTTGAGGGGTACGGGGTTGTAATTAACCTCCCTTTGGATTCAAAAGAAAAAAAGAATTCCCGAATATATGTTGTGTTTTTTTCAAAGGAAAATGTCCATGAACAGCTAGGCTTTGAAGTAATGTGTGAAGAAAATTCAGTTGTGAAAAAAATAATCTCTCATTAGATATAGATAGTTGGTTATTAAGATTTATTATCCAGCTCTTAGCTGCATTTATGTCTTTGCCAAGGATCGGGAAATACAGAAGTCCTCTTCAACTACAAACCATTGGAGATTCTATATAAAGAAGTCTGAGATTAATGACCGTTTGATTGTATACATTAAGTAAAGCTACACCTACTTACAAAAAGTTTACACACTTGATGTATTTTTTATGTGTACTCCGTGAAATAATTAGAAAATTGAAGAAAGTAAAATTTTCGCTTTTGCCCCCGAAAAATAAGGAGAAATTTTTTGTTGATATCTAGTATTTTTCCCCTTTATAGGTAAAAAATTAAAGTAAAATGTCCTGCTCTATTTAATTTCTTGAGAAATATGCAACAATACTTTTAAAGAAATAACTGATATACATTCAACCAAATCATATTATATTGTCATGATAACTAGATTGGTTTTATTTCACAAACATTAACTGTTACTATATCCCCTCATGATAACAACTTATTCGCATGCCTGATCAGCATTAACTTGAGTCGCCGCCATAGTCGCTATCTGTCCAGATTTCATTTGGAATCTACTCCGAAAACTTTACAAAAATGCAATTGAAAGGCAACAGAATTTTCATGTTCGTTCTAATTTTGGTGCAATGTGCATTTATAATAACTTTTGTGATGTGTATGAAATATGATCCGGCTGCAAGACCAACAATTACAGTGGATGCCAAAGCAATGTCTGGAGGTCAACCAAGAAGCCAAAGCAACCAATTACAGAAAATTTACCCAAGTAAGTCATGATCAAATATAAACTGTTACATGTATATAATGAAACCTGTCCCATCATCTCTTTGTCAAAATAACTGAACAACATTGTTTTCAGCATTGGGAAATAAGTTATAATATAACAATGCAGAATAAGAGTATAAGGTTTAAATTGAGCTATCAGATCATAAAAGACTAAAAAAGATAAACAAAAATAGAGTTTGTGTACTAAAAAAGCACAATGTTGAGGAAGATCAGAGAACGAAACTCGTGTACAATGTTGTTAACTCAGTCGAGCGGTCATAACGGTACCATAACGGTCTTTGATGTTGTGAAACCTTCTACAGCCTTTCTTTTCAATATACGAGGTACATTGTACATGTACATCAGTGGAAATTTTTATAATCTTAATATAAAATTTTATATAACCGTGTTTGCACCACTACATGTACTTACTTAGGATTTGACTCTATGTTTAATAAAAAGACAATCACCAAAAGATAAAATAAATTTGCGTTATCAGAATATTATTACAATGTATTTATAGACTGGTATTACATGCACATATATTTCATCTTAATTGACAAGAGATTTGTTACTGTACCTCCTTAGATTTAATATACAAGATTATTTGATACTCCGAAGCCAATAATTATGCAGTTCAGCATGAAATGAAGTTTTAAAAGAAACAAGCAAATTAACCAAATTTTTAGAATGTTCAACTGTTGTAACAAAGTCAAAGGGTTAAATAATGAAAGATTTAAAGTTTGGTCAAGGTTAAATTTTTTCATAAGTATATCAGCCAAAAGAGTTTGTTAAAATAAATTTCCACAAAGAATACATATGTTAAATATATCAGTATATATTCAAAATTTGTGACCAACAATGTATTTATACTCCAAGGTCAAGGTAAAAGGGTATGGTATCCAATTAAAGGCACAAAAATATATTTCAGCCCTTCGTTTAAAAGTTATGGTCAAGGTTAAAGATTTGTTTCAAAGTTGTTGGTATTCAATGAAATGTCTTGTCACAAAGAATACATATGTGGAATGTGAAACAAGCCCTTCAAAAGTTATTTAAAATATATGGTCCAAGGTCAAGGTCAAATTTGGTGGTTGAGAAAGGTCTTATCATAAGGAATACACATGTGAAATATGAAAGCTAGCTCCACTAAATCAAAAGTTATGCAGTTTTTGTTCAGCATGAAATGTAGTTTTAAAAGAAATAATTAAGTGTATATACCGATTCAGTATGGTGATACCATAAGGTTCTGATTATAATGTTTTTTAAAACAATTAAACGTGAAAACGATATGAGAACGAGCTCTGATCAATCTCACTATATATATGCATTAACTGTGAATTGTTAATGTGGTAAAAACTCGGACCCCTTGATACCAGAAGTTGGATTAGTTGCCTATAGAAGGATAAAGCAGCCCCTGTACACCGGTCACAATCGCCACAAGCCTCTGTATTAATCAGGTAAGGAGTTGTCTGTGTTGAAGCTTGGTATGAAAACCAATTGTTGTAAAACTTGCCAGTGGAAATAAGACCAAAGCATTAAGGCTGCATTATATTCAAAAGTCACACCTTGATAAAACCAGGATTGATGCTGGGAGTCCAGTAATGCCAACTTATTTATCAGTAGTGTGCCTTGGTTAAAAAATCGATCGTAATCACAACATGGTCTTGGAACCTTTAAGAACGTATAAACATAATTCAGAGTACATCTGTTCTGAGAAGGCTTTTTATACTCTTATATGACTATACAATGAATTTATACATATGTACGATGAAAATTGTGTTAATCAGAAAACAGTTTACACACCAACTTGGAAATATGGAAAATTTTATTCAAAGAAAGAATAAGATACTAAGTATTTATTCACAACATCTTCATACAAAATTCAAACATTTGCTTAAAAAATGTCAATTCATGTCTGAGAGTATTAATACAGGATCATTATCTGATTCACTATACAGCTGTAACATTAATCATGCAGAGCAAATGTTGGCCCAGACATCACAAAACAAAACAAACAATAGAAGAGACTACCTAAAGTCACAGAAAAGGTCATCATAAAGCCAAACATTCTTTTAAGAGGCTCTCTGACATAGCCTACCCAGAATGCAACACGTCCAATCACAAATAAGATAGAACACAATGGGATGATGGCAAGTGACTCTGACGTCAGATAAGTGCAGAGCACGAGCTGTCCAATTACGTGAAGACAAAGTTGTTCAGTGGTGTTCCGAAGGTACTTCTGTTGTGTCTCCACAATGTGCTCCCCCCGTCCCAACACTGGATTTATTGCAGAACTTTGAAAACGCAGATACATAACAGACATAACACCAAATAAAAGCATGGAGGCAGGGAACATTTGCCAACGCAGGGTATACACCAATCTCACAAGAACGGAGTCTGCAGAGGGGGTGGAGAACGGAAACACGAGATATCCGATAGAACTAAACAAAACAGTAAAGATCATCCCAGCCAGCCCTGTCCTCACAACAAACTGGCGATCTTCAGGGAAAGAACGCATGATCACAATCCCACGTGGACTCACGAGCGGTCAGGCATTTTCATCCAGTCCTTCAAACTGCTTTTTTTATTTAAAAATACTTCATTTTGATTTAATGTTCATATGTCATTTCTTCATGTTTCTAATATCACAGACATCCAGGCTTCATTAGTTCAAGAATATACCGGTATAGGATTCAATATATAATCCATTTTCACTACATACGCTTTGTTTGTTTTGGGGGGATTCTTAATCTAAATATAACATGTTTTACCTGAGTGACACAGGTATTTACAGAAAGACAGGGCTGGGGCCTACAGGCAGGGACTCTTAAGCGAATTGAATATAACTTAATAGGGGTTCGTTTCTCTTGAAGAGTAAAAAAAGACTGTGGAATAATGTTTTCATTGACATATAGTATTCACAATAAATTCAACCCGTACATTCTAACATCAATAGATACTACTAGATAGATACCACACAGCAATAGTGTCTAAAATGAAGATTTTCACAATTAAGATATTTAATGTCATCAAAATGTAAGAAAATATCTTACTTTAGAGTGATACCTTAGTTGCAGTCAGACAAATATGAACAGACAAATATGACAAAAATGAACTTAGTACATGAACTAAGGCTCAATATATTCGCAACAAAAACTAAGAAACTACGAGGATCAAAATACCATGATGTTTTTGATGATGCGATACAAACAGTATAAATAAGTTAAAAAGATTGGCATCGCCGTCCCACTCATACCCACGGCTCTATTTAAAGGTGAGCTGAGATACCCCCACCAAAACAGCAAACGGAAAATCACAAAGATCACCGACAAGATGGGAAGGACTTTAAGGGAATCTTCATCTAGAAATGTACAAAGGGTCAGCATAGCCACTGCATGCATTATGTACTGCTCTATAGTGTTCCTGAGAATCCTGTTTGGTACATCCACGATGTCCTCACCGCCGCCTTTGACGGGGTCGATTGCTGTCGTGTTGAAACGTGCATTTCCAACGGATTGGAGAATCAGCGGAATCGGAAGTGAGGACACGAAGAGACAGCGGATTGTTAAGATAAATCTGTCCACGGGAGACTGAGCCTGTATCGCTGGTAGTGGCAGGAAGTAGTAGGCCCCTAGGAAGAGAGTGGCACACAAAGTCAGACCCGCCATGATCTGTTTACGGATCCAGTCTTTACTCTCTTTTGGAGCTTTTCTTGTTGCTGATTTCTCAGGCATCTTTTACTATAATCTGTATGAAAAAAATTGATATGGTAAAAAAGCCTTTAATTTTTTTCTTACAAACGCTACCCATAACGTTATAATACATCCTTTTTAGATTTTTAAACAGAAGACGCACGCTGTCGTAGATTACCTTGGAATATCAATATGTTGTCAGGTTTAACTTTCAGAATATTTCATTCCTCCCGGTTCTATAAACAGGTATTGAGATTGCTTGTACTGGAGGGGCTAGTGTATATGGCCGAGTTAATATGGCTAACACCGGTACAAAGTCAACAAACTCATATCCGTTATCAATAGCTTTTAAATCTCCTTATTTACTTGAGGAAGACAAACGTAGTACCCAACCAAAGAAAAACCGATTTTTTTTTTACCATATCTGACATACACTTTGTGAAATAATTGTCAGGCTTATACTATATGATGTGACGTTCTATTTCTCCTAATTTGACAAAGATGATGAATTGCACATTAAGCACATGTATACATATATTTTAGTTTAGCATAATTTTATGTAAACTTAAATGGCCCACTAAAGCTACACAATTTCAAAACAGACTTCCAATATCATGATTATCACTGTGTGCACCTATTTGTACTTTCTCTGATTATATTCATATTTCAAAATGTTCATGAGAAGGTTTTTCATTTAACAAATTGAAATAAGGTTAAATCCGGATCATCTGGTACTTGTGACTTTATGTTCTATTAATCTGTAATCAAGCTTTAATTACACTGCATGAAATTGGTCATTATGTAGAAAGAGGTAAAAACGTAACCCAGAGTAGCACATATGTAAGCTTTAATATAGTCTTTTTACTACAAATGTAGTCAGTTTTCCTAAAACAGGCCATAATTCCGTCCAAAATAAATCATCAAAACGGAAAGATGGAAATGCACACTTGGTACAACTTTAATACATTGTAGTTATTCCAGTATAACTTGGTAGCTATTTATTTCATTCCTAAATAATATGCATTCTTGTAAAAATTATGACAAAATTACATGATGTGAAAGATATCATGCAGTACATGTATAAGGCTACTGACAAATAAGATAAAATTGCAAACCTTTCAAAAATGTTTTACAATTCATTATAAAATACTATATATTTGTAAAAATGACCTTGTTTACAAGTAAAACATATAGTACTGACGTAAATTAATTTCGACTTTGGTTTAATAACTCCTATTACCTGATCAATGTAGAGGAGCTCGCGGCGGATACTCCAGATTGATAAGGGATGCTTACTTCTCCTAGGTACCGGATTCCAACTCTGATATTTCTAGAGGTTGTTTTTGAATGTTATAGATCATTTAGATTATTTAGTTGAACAGTTCGCTTCTTATTTTCTATACCTATGCAGATAAACGCAATATTTAACTGCAGTAAATACAAGATTAGTTGTCATGTTGTAAATTTTCTATTTACTGCCACCCGGTGTAAATTCAAAATTTACAACATGACATTACCATATAAGGTTACTTCAGTGAATACTGTTGTTTTTCCTTCACAGCATGGAAAACTATGGTTGTCAGTATCCTCCATGTTTTAAATATAATCCAAACTTATGTCAAAAGCTAGTCACTCTGAGTTTGCAAATATGTGCCGTTTTTATAGGTTACTCAAACATAAGGTATGTAATTTACGTCACATTTACAGATGTCAAAATAATTTTAGAAGTAGTGAAGTCTTTTGATTGAATTCTTATGATAATTTTGCTGAGTCATTCAATTTTTTATGATATTAAAAATAACAGATATATAAACCTTATATAATCATAATACCCGAGGGCAATAATGGGGAATATGAATTTTCATGGACAAAGAAATCATATTGTAATTATTGTATTTACTACCACCCAGGTAAATTAAAAAATAACAATAAGTCAGATCTCAAATAATACTAAAGTATACCATATACATTCATTATCTTTGTCAGAATGCAAAATGTGCAATAAATGTATACAACCAGTGTAGGTATAAATGTGCTAGCAAACCCCCACCCCCTGTTCATTGGAGAGGACATGTACCCATACTGATATACAATTCTAGCCATCAGGAATATCCCTGAAAGAATGGGAATAACCCTCATAGAACTGCCCTCCAGAAACAGAGTCAATGTTAACATCGCCATCATATGTAGAAAGAACTGCTCCGTTGTGTTCCGAAGGATGCGGTTTGGGACGTCCACGAGATTTTCAGCCCCGCCATACACCGGATCAATGGCGTCCGTGTTACCTCGGACGTTACCGACCCCAATGATCCCCATTATTATGGAAAACGAGGAGACAAACAAACAACATATCGTAAAGGCTAATCTCTCGGACAGCTCGGTGATTTTAGAGGTGTTGATGTTGAGAAGCCAGTAGCTGAAGAAAAAGACGGAGCCACTGACAATTAATGAAGTCACTATCTGCATTTGGACACGTGTTTTCTTTTCCCGGAATGTTCTCTTGTCCTTCTGTTTGTCCGACATGTTTTCTTCTGGCTGCTAAAATTTAGAACATTCAAAAGAAGCGAACAAACAAACACAAAATAAGATCAGCCTGCTACACGTGTTGTTATTATTTTCATATCAAGTAGTGAACAATACATACCTCCATTGAAACATGCATACGTTAAATTAAGCTTACCTTATTCTGTTCTATGCTATGTGTCTCATTAATATTCGTACACTATTTCTACGGTCAACAGTTTTGGCTATGAATGTGAAAACGGCGGAATGGCTTTAATGACCCATATCAGCAATGTAGGAAACACCTCAGACAATACTAAGGGTCCTGAATGAAGTGACTTGAATCACACTTTCAAGGATTATGCACTTGCTTCGGCTGTTTGATCGTACATTTTGGGGAGGAATGGTGACTTGATAAATGTATTTGATATTAAGAGTCTTAATGACTGCAAATGGTAGATGAAACATAAGGAGATAACGAACATCAAAAGTCTATAAGAAAATACAAAACAGGAGCTGAGCAAATACGGACCTCCAAACATCAGAGGTGGGATCAGGTGCCATGGAGGAGTGAGCATCCCCTGCCGAACGGTCACACCAGCTGTATACTCCTTGTCATGATCGGGAAATGACGGGAAAATCCGTTGACAATTCAGTGTATAAATAATAGACTAACAATTACTGTTAAAAACGTCAGTCAGCATTTGACTCAATGATAATAAATTGTATTTGCTGACTAGGTCATTGTTTCGGCTATAGAACTTACGAAATGATGACTAAACGAGACTGCTGATATTCTAGATTCATCAACTTGTTTGTCTCGTTTTAAAAATTGTTCATACGTAGAGCATGCTCTTGCGTATCGAATCAACTGAGATATATAAATTCCGTATGCAGATAATGAAGGTATATTGCTGCATAAGTAAGGGCAAATGACGATAGAAAAGATCTGACCTAATTTTTATGGGTAACTTAACAGATATACTTTTTAGAAGCCTGTTTCTGTTTGCAAAGTTCAAACTTGCAGGGATGATACATCTATGAATGGACACCACCAGACGTGGATGCTGGATCTGACCTTCAGATCCTTAATGAGTGAGTAGGTAGCAGAGGAAGTTCTGTCAATAGTTTTTTAGTGTACAAATCCTTAGAAAATCAACCTTGCATCCTATAGGTCTACTTGGTACTACTTGGAAATATATACTTGCTTCTAAAACTTTAAAGTGGTCACTCATCCGGAAAATAAGTCAGATCAAGCAAGTCTGGAAGTGGGCATCACTGGATACAGCATTCAGGCAAGTGTGATGGGAAGTGGACACGCTCCAGGACACCGACAAAACACCGATATAATTATTATAGTTCACTTTATATCGACTTTGTTGAGGTGAACTCAGAGTCGAGTTTATGGATTTTAATAGCAATATATTTGTAACCTAAGAGAAATTACAAGTACCATTTATGCCGTATACAATGTAGCTCAACGAACTTGGGGGAAGTCCATGTGATGCCGTCGGTATAGGCGTCCAAGGTTAACGTTTTTGATGCAGTTTTCATTTTTAGTACTTATTTGCCCTACATTAGTCAGAGATGCATGTAAGATACTTCTAGTGTGTTTCATTGTACCAGCAAAGGTTTCTGATGCTGTGATTTCAGTAAAAGGAGTGAACAGATTAAAGTGTTTCCTAAACTTACATGGATGATACCGGTACTTCTAAGGATGCACACTACCGCTTCGGATGCTTTTTTTGAATGAGTTTTTGGAAAAGATTCAATCAAAAGTAACTATAAGCCCTATGATGACAAAACTTGCATGATGATGAATCCAAGGAAGATTACTAACGGACTTGCTTCGGATGCTGGATTTTACCTACATTTTCGGATGAGTAGTCAGGTAAAAGTCTTAAAAGTTGGTTGATTTCCAAGTAATTATAAGCCCTATGTTGATCAAACTTGCATGGATGATAATTCTAAGGATGTAGTTGCCCATGTGACACAGTAACTAAAGCATCTGCTCTAGAGTCGCGAAGTAAGGAGTTGATCCTTAAGTCGTAGGTTCGAATCCCACTGTGGAACGAGGAAATCGGTCTATGGATGAGACCATGTAAACCGAGGTCGCAGTAACTGCTGGCACAAAAAAATTCCTCACTGCTCAATGACTCCGAGTGCCGAGTAAAGGACAAAATTTGCAGCTCTGTGGTAACGCACTTTGAAAAAAATTAAGCACTTTGAAAAAAAGATTTCAAAGGGCGTTAAAATTTTGACAAAATCAACACACTTTGAAAATTTTTTTGTGTTAAGATTGTACACCAACATTTTTTACTATGGGTACATTTAACGCACTTTGAAAAAAATATGTATAAAACAAAAAATTCTAGTCTTAGATCTTAGTAGTTGAGAGAATCAATTTGTAATAAATATATCTTTCGAAAAACCTTTTAATTTACATGTATTGATTTACCCTCATTGAGAACAAGGAGAAGACGAGTACATGTAGAAGGTCTCTCAGCCCAACTCTTTTTGGGGGGGGGAGTTGAACTATGTTCAATCTCCCATGGTCATCACGCATTTAACATGCGCAGTAATTTGTGTTGATTATATAGAGCCGAAAGCGAGGCTACTGTGTCGACCGATTTACTCCGATGACATTCAACAGAAAACATGCATAAACATCCGCCACAAATAGTTCATGTCATTTTCTCCTGAATTGATCTAATTTTTTTCATAATTTGAAATATAAGTAAATGTAATGATAAAGTAATCTTATTTTGAATATTAGATTTCGTTCAAAGTAAAAACTAAATTATAAAGAACCTCAAAAGTTTTTCGTTATGGAACTCATTTTTAGTGTAGCGTCATACACTGAAAGAGATACGAACGACAACTCTACATACTGACGGCAAGCGGTAAATCTAGTCTTCCCGACGCCCGACGGTCCCGGATTTTTAGCAATTTCTTTTTTACCAGCGCACAGAATTTATTCAAACTTTTCATGAACATTTTCTTGGTTTAAATGAATTCATTAATGCATAAAAACTTTAGGAAACATGCGTATTTATTACTAAATCAGCAGTATCACCTGCCAAAAGCGGTAAATCTAGTACTCTGTTATAAATGTTAAAACCACAAACGGACATCGATGTTTTCGTAAAATCGCGATTAAAAACAACAAAATGAAGTATATTTTTTTTAATAAACGGAAAACCTCATTTACATACCAGATAATGTGTACGCACACAAACTCTCACATATATGTACCACTGTTTTTATGTTTGGTCATTAAATATTTGTTTTTAACTTGGTATTGCTTTTTTCTTCACAATATTAAAATAGATTAAGTTTTGACGTACTCCATATATAATGTTCGTGTAATTGACATACATTTATATTCACAGAAAAGTTTTATATAACAAACCTATTAACTCTTAAAAGGATGCTGTGTTAAAATCCACATTTTATCAACATTGATATTACTCCTGCGAAACTGAAATTTTCGTAACACATGGGTAAAGGTGCCAAGGAAAAATATATTACAAATTTGAAGACTGTGAGCAGTGAATTATATAAATGATCAACCGCCTCTAATATGAATATAATGGCAGTGTCCATGTTTTGCAATGGGAAACCCAAAATATGTGTAGGATGAAAAAGTAATAGAAGGTGCACAACGGCAATATGTAATTAAGATTCTATGAAAATTTCGTTCAGTTCCACTGTTGTGTAAGAGGAGTTGGGGATATGAGATGGGTATACCTAAAGCGTAACAAACAGATAGACGGAAATCCCAATTAATAAATACCCTCCCGCTTTTCAAGCAGGGGGTTCAAAAAAGGACTAATGTAGGCAGGCAAGCATTATGGCCCATGCATTTTTTTGCTATTCAATGTCTCTGAATGTCTTTATCAAGATTGTTGCAACTCAGAAAATCTGAAACAGTTGTGTGTATTTGAAATAATAATATTGTTCACTCACTTAACCTCCCGATCAAAGATTTTTTTACACCATGTTCAACTCCCATGAGTGCTTTCAGTACTTTGATTTCTTATACATAGCCGTCGGAAGCACATTGAAAGCCCCCCCCCCCCCCCCCCCCCCCAGCTTTTGCATAACTGATATGACGTTGAAAACTTTCAGTAAACTGGAAAAGAAATTACGTACAGTAAAACATTTAAGAGAAAAATCAAAATCGCTCACTTTCACATCCTGAAGTGACCTTACCATCGAAAAGTTATCCAACAGGTTCAGTTATTTATCATGCCGAAGATTTGCATGAATACTGACCTAGGCATACACATTTTTATACCCCCGCTTCGAAGGAGAGGGGGTATACTGTTTTACCCTTGTGTGTCTGTCTGTGTGTCTAGCTGTGTGTCTGTCCGTAACAAATTTTCGTCACAGTTTTCTCAGCAACTACTCTTCGTAGATGCTTGAAATTTTAACACAATCTTCTCTGCGATATGCCATACGGAGGGATACATTTTTGTTTAAATCCAATGTCAACTTCCTGTTTGTCTGTGTGTCTGTCTGTTTCATACATAAAAATTCTCCTCGCAGTTTTCTCAGCAACTACTCATCGCAGATGCTTGAAATTTTAACACAATCTTTTCCTGTTTGTCTGTGCGTCTGTCCGTTTCATATATAACAAATCTTCATTGCAGTTTTCTCAGCAACTACTCATCGCAGATGCTTAAAATTTTAACACAATCTTCCCGATGGCATGCCATACGGGTTGGATTCATTTTGGGTCAAATCCGATGTCAACTTCCTGTTTGTCTGTGCATCCCTCTGTTTCATACATAATAAATTTTCGTCGCATTTTTCTCATTAACTATTCATAGTAGATGCTTGAAATCTTAGTACACTCTTTGAACGAGAACATTGAGGCATGCCCTATGGTGGGATTAATTTTGATGTGAATCTGATGTCAACTTCATATTTTTCTGTGCATCTGCCTGTAATTGAACTTGTGTATATTAACATGATACATGTAGTGTTTATTTACATCAGAGCCGGGGTATTACTAGTGAGCATTGGTTAACAGATTTATTGTTTTTTCAAAGTGCGTTAATATGGTCAATATTCTATTCCCAAGTACATGTGTAACTTCAACTTCTATCAGTCAACATTGCAGAAATGGTACAACTGTGGATGTGCACTACTAGTGTACTATTTGTTTTGTACAGTTGGTCTACTAGATCATAAGTTTAATGTGGGACTTGTCTGACTTAGAGCCAACATTGGTTCGAATCCCACTGTGTGACGCGGAGTCCTTCGGATAAGACTGGATAAACCGAGGTCCCGTGTCACAGTCGGTGCTGGCAAGAAAAAGATCCCTCAATGCTCAATGACCTTAAGTGACGAGTATAGGACAAAATTTGCAGCTTTCCACCGGCACTTGATGGCGTCTCCATATGAGTTAAAAATTCTCGAGAGGGAGTTAAACAATATACAATCAATAAAGTATAAGATGAGATCTGTAATTTCTAAATACCGATGTTTTTATGCGCCCGGATCGGTAGATCTGAGGCGTTTATGTCCTGTCTGTCTGTCTGTTTGTTTGTTTGTCTGCAAACTTTAACCTTCGTCATAACTTTTGAACCATGAAAGGTAGAGACTTAATGTTTGGTATGCATACTACACTATTTAAATTCTTTCAAATGATACCAAGGTCATTGACCTTGTGACCTTGACTGTGACCTATATGCTAAAAGTAGTGTCTTTGTCTGCAAACTTTAACCTACACCATATATAACTTTTGAACCTTGAAAGTTAGAGACTTCATATTTGGTATGCATACTCCACTAATTAAGCTCTTACAAATGACACAGGTCAATGACCTTGTGACCTTGACTGTGACCTATATGCTAAAAAAGCATTTTTGAACCTTCACAATAACGTTTTAACCATGAGAGATAGATACTTCATATTTGGTATGCGTACTCCACTTATTAAGTTCTTTCAAATCACACCAAGCTCAATGACCTTGTGACCTTGACTGTGACTTATATGCTAAAAATAGCTTTTTCGTACCTTCGTCATTACTTTTGAATCATAAGAGATAGAGACTTCATATTTGGTATGCATACTCCATTTATCAAGTTCTTTCAAATGACACCAAGGTCAATGACCTTGTGACCCTGACTGTGACCTGTATGCTAAAGATAGCTTTTTTTCAAACTTTGTTGCCACCGGACGCATAGTGTTTCACAAACACATCTTGTTTTCTGTTGTGAATATGTGAAAATAAAGCTTAAAACAAGTATAAAGTATATTCTAGACATTTATTTTGAAATATATTTGAAAGAGCATATCATTTCATAGTTACTGTATTTTTTTCTATTATTAAGACAGCAACATATTGCCTGTAAACAATCGATACGTACAATACAGGTACACAATTAATGTAGGAATAAAAGTCATGATAAACCCAAAGCTCCTGTTAAAGGGAGATCGGGAATATCCTAGCCCGTAAGTTAACCGGCCAAGCAGAAACAGTCCGGATAAAACTGGAATAGCCTTCAGAGAACTAACATCCAGGATAGTGCTCAAAGCCAAAATTCCCGCCATGTGCAAAAAATACTGTTCGACATTATTTCGTAGAATTCTGTTCGGAACCTCTATCAGGTTTTCTGCTCCGCCATTGATAGGATCAACAGCATTCGTACTCCCTCGGACTCTTAGTACCCCAAACATTGCAAATATTATGCAGAAGGAGGAAATGAACAACCACTTGACTGCAAACGCGAGGCGTCCCGCAGGGTCCTTCAGTCCGGAAGTATTTATTGGCAGTGTCCAGAAACCGAAGGTAAACAGAACTAAGCTCGTCACAATCGCCGAGAGCATCTGAATCCGAATCCAAGGCATGTTCTCTATCAGCAGGCGGGGTTTCGTCTTCTCTTTGCTCTCCATTATGAAGTCTGGGAGGCTAAATGGTCCCTGAAAGAATTGTAAAAATAAGAATTTGTATATAAATCTATGTTAACATCATGCTGTGTCTTTTTAATGGAAGAAATTAAAAAGTTTAAATATTAGGTTTACTAAAAATCTTACCTTAGTTAATGTTCGATGTGCAATTGCTAATGCTTAATATCCAATGAAATGGACAGTCTCTTATATCGTGCGCCGAATGCTGTAATGTAATGACCTTCGATCGGGCAGCTTCAAGCAAGTAGAGGTGACAAAGTAGAACGACACAATCATAAGTATTGTTTACATACAGGGGTTCGTCAGGGGATATCTTTTCTTATAAAGGTGAAAAAGAAGAACGCAGTGACTTTTTAAATGGCTCGTTAACGGGGAATGCGTTATGTTGAAAGGGGGATAAAGGCAAGGCCCTGAAAGCATTTTTAAAGTAAAATTCCAGTAGTTATATTCATACAAAATTTCATGTTTTCCGTAATGTTTAAGTTGTGTTTCAATTAAAAAAGAAAATATTAAAGGATAAAGTTTATTCAGAGCATTTATAGAAATCAAGGTGCGTTCCTTTCGTGACGAGAAGCTAAGGATGTCAAACGATTTAATCATACAGTGTATAAGTAAAATAAATTTATACGATATTATTTTATAGATATAATATATAGGAAATTATATTTTGAAAACATGCTGTTACATTTATTTTATTTCTGAATAGTGCATGAAAAAAATTGAATGAAATGTAATTGCCGATGTTGAAACAGAATAAACAATGCGATTTTTATATACCTAAAATAAAAATCATACGCAGCAGCATGGAATGCAGGATAGTTGATCAGAGGACTTTGTGCCTTTTTGAAAGGCATAGATTTGATTCAACGTCTAAGTAAAAGTACACCCAGTCATATATTGTGTTTTTCAAATAAAAGGTTTCATTGGTCGCCATTAACTTCCAAAGCACCTTGCGGGACAGAATTAGGAAGTTTAATTATGTAACTAATGTTGGGAATGTACCAGACTTCAACCTGACTTACGGAATCATATATAAGCATTTTGGATAATAAATTAAATTTCTTTATTTTGCTATCAAATATTTAGGCAAATTTCAAATAAATTTAAAAATACCTCCAGATATAATAAGTTATACCTTTATGCTTATAATCATCCTATCAGAGTCTGTAAGCACCACTTTGTTTTAAATTAAATTATAAAACCAAGAAATCATAAGGATCGAAGCTCCATTATCGTAACCCATATTGTTAACATTACTTGATTGATTGTATGTTGCTTAACGTCCCTCTCGAGAATTTTTCACTTTAATGGAGACGCCACAACTTGCCGGTGGAGAGCTAATCGGTACTTACAGCCATTGGGCAGGGAGGGATCCTTTTCGTCCCAGCACCTACTGCGACACAGGACCCCAGTTTGTACAGTCTCATCTGAAAGACCGGTCTCCAAGTCCCACAGTTGGATTCCAGCCTGCGACGTTAACCACTGCGCCACGCGGGCGACAACATAACTTGTCGGTCAAAACAATATTTAAAAACATCTTTTATTACTAGTATTAAATCGTATACATGTACATTTAATAAATGATTAATAAAATTATACTATGGATGGTGCAGCACAAATGTATACGATATTCAATGAACAGTGTTAGTAAAAGGGGATGATATCTTTACACGTGCAATATGTAGTAATACATGTATATGAATTACATTTTGAGATATGAGACATTACTAGAATTTTAGGAAATACGTGGTGATGAATTTATATAAAACATATCCATAGGTTGCCATTGTAGGCATAAAAGTGATGCCAAATCCGAATCCTCTATTCATGGGTGAAGATTTGTAGCCGATGGCGAAGAAGACTCGACCAAGAAAAAATAAGACAACTAAGACTGGAATATCGGACATACAATTTTCGTCCAGATATGTTGTCAGTGCTAATAATCCAACTGCATGCATGGAAAACTGCTCGATTGTATTTCGTAGTATCCTGTTTGGTAGTTCCACGAGGTGTTCCGCACCTCCCTGAAGTGGGTCGATGGCTTTCGTGTTACCTCGGACATCTAACACCCCAAAGATGGCAAATAAGATCGGGAGTGAGGAGACAAACAACCACCTGAGGGTGAAAGTCAGACGGTCCTGGGGAGTTTTCAGTGTTTCCGTGTCAAGAGGAATGTTCCGGACCGTGAAGTAAACCGCAGCACAAACGGCAATGGCTCCTGCGAATTCCTTGTAGACCCAACTCAGTTTTTTATTGTGCTCTTCCTTCTCTTTTGCATTCATCTCAGCCATTGTTTACAGTTTAAAATTGTCTAGAAAAAAAAAAAGAATTTTACTGAGAGAAATACTGAGCATATCAATTACATTCATAAAAATCTATTTTTGTCCCCTGAAAGTGCGGGATGTTAATTTCGGTCCGTTCATCCGTCTGTCTGTCTATACTTCTGCCTGTAAGACCACGCGATAGCCCGAAAATTAAGCTTTTGCAATGAAAATTTAATACAACAAGCTATAATTCAGAGAAACTGTGTCCCCGCTTAAGGAAAAAAAGACATGCTTGCGCGGATTGGGGGTGGGGGTGGTTAAGTTTTTGCAATTAAATATTATACAATGTACCATAATTCCCTAATTCCCTTTCATCCTTCTTTAAGTGCCCCCCCCCCCCTCGATCCCGCCCACCTAGATCCGCCCATCCTCTTCTTTTGCCATGGGCATGGGATACAGATTCTCTTAATAAGCTTGTTAAAATTAATTGTGCTCACAAATTTTTCCTATTGAGTATTGTTGGATCTTGAAATATTTTTAGCAACAACAAGTTATACATATACCGCCACAAATGTCTCTCCCCTTTTTGTATAGCTTTCCATAACTCAAGGCATTAAGCTGTTAAGTGATAGCAGGGTCATGGTAAGACAAGATATGAAATACATGCTCGCAGTATAGCAACAGCTCTGTACTAATAAGCATCCTTAGTGCATTAAATGGATGAATCTTACCCTCCTCGTTCTGTTTATGTCCTAAAAAATAAACTTGTGCACTGTTTGCGCTTCAGCTCCGAGGTAGGTCATTTTGATAACCTCATTGCTGTTATGAGAGTTCTAGAAAGGCCAAGAGGAACAACTCTTTTATTTTTAACTATCCGTGTCAGATCTTTATATTTTCAGAATGCATGTTGGAATTATAGTGGCCAACTTTTTTCAAGTCGAACTTCCTTAAAGTTTCACTTCCAATTTTTTCCTATATTTCTTGCTTTGTATATACTGTGGTAAATAAAAAGTGGGGGGGGGGGGGGCAACCATCTTTTCAATAGACATTTTCTATAGTAAAGGTAATGTTAGGGAAAAAAGGCCCCGTTTAGTGCATATCCCCCCCCCCCCCCCCCCGGATAGTACGTGCCTGCATTATTACACATGTTCAATCTATTGATTTTATCATCAATCATATACATCAGTTTTCATTACGTAATGACAGGCAGCAATTTCATTTTTTTCGGGGAGGGGGCTAACAAAACTTTAAGAGCGTTCCATAGTAGGAGCTCCTCCTTAAAATTAAACTCTTTGTTAATAACTGATTTTACGAACTGAAAACAATAAATTGTTTTTAAAAATATATATATATAATACCAGTATCATTTCTTCGCACGTATGTGTTTTGGTCAATATAATGATAATTTTAAAATTACATATAACTGTTAATATCAGTTTGGTGCTTGTTTCTTTTATGGTGAAAATTTGAAAACATTTGTTTGACAAAGTGATGTCCCCAAAATTTAAAATGAAATGGTGATATATTTAAACTGAAAAGTTGATAACAAATCGTGTACTTACATGTATCAGAAAGAATTGCCTCAATGCAATAAATTGCCAAATAAAAATGTATTTCCTGTGAATTGATTTTCATTTATTGTATGAAATGTAGATAAGGAACAATTATCAAGTATAAATAGTCAGCGAAATCGTGAAGAATCTAATAAATAGGTTGAATTGCAAATCCGCCTTCTATTACGCACTAGTACTATCACTTTAAAATGTTTAAATTGATGATAACGCTTTTATGCATGTATTGACAGTTTCCGAACAATGTTCGTATTTCTTCTTAAAATACTCATATAAAAATCAATGAACAACCTGTCTTATTTATTAGCTAGTTATTTTATATCAGAAAGACCTATAAAAGTTTTTCCCCCTTAAAAAAAAATTTATATACTTCTCCTGAAGACATATGGACGATTTTCTATATTTTATTTGGTACAAATGAAGACAAAGTGCATTCAGTGTCACTCATAGATGTAATAAAATAGTCTGAGTAATTCATTTATGGAGAGAGACGGGGTCAAGGCTAGAGCTGGGGGAGGTCCCTAAAGTAAGATACGATGTATACAGTTTTAGCTCTTCTGAGCCGGAGGCTCAAACTCAAAGAGCTAATCCTCTTGTCATTTAATCGGTGTGCGTCATTTTTTTTTTTTTTTTTGGAATATGGGTCGTGACTTAAAAGAACCCCTTGGCGAATTTTGTCAAATCCATGGCACACTTCTCCTATTTGTGATGCGACTCTTAAACAAGGGGAGGTAATTCAGAAAAAAATTAAAACTAAAGTATTGGTAGCTTAAAAAAAATCTCAACAACCACTGGCCTTAGAATTATAACCTTTTTAGTTGTTTCATTTTGGGTTCTCAGTTTTTCAGCCAGAAGGCGTCGTTGCAAACCACGACCAAAATATACGATCTTCTCCCATTCAGGAGGGAGCTATATGCAGACTCCGAACCATGGCCAGAGGATGACCAGAATGGAGATCATGATGACCTACTTTTGGAATTTCAAGGCTTTATTTTAATATACAGAATACTTATAGAGGTTTCAACCAGAAGTGACTGTTGAACAATTTATGAATTTATTTTTGGGCCTCTTCTTTTACTGTCTAACAGAAATATACATTTAAATCAATTTGAATATGCCTAAATATATGTTTACCCTCTCAATTATAGACCTTACGTCTAGAGTATTTCAATAAAATCTATCAATGCCATACTATACATTTATTGACTGAGTTTGTTGGCAACGTTACGTTTTGTTGGTCGAAAAAAACTAAAGTGTTAGGTTGAGCCGTTAGGCCTCAGGCAAACAGTTTGATTCGAGAGGTCAACAAATTTTGTCTAAGAACACAGTCAATGAATGTTTTTTAATCTTTTATTTTTTTATTTACCTTTTATTCATTCACTTCTTCTGATTGTATGTCGCATAGATACAAACGAATGCAAATGAGATTTAGCTGATCCCGCTCATTATGTTACGTAAGCAGTCCAACATCTCATTGTTAGGTCCAACACCTCACTCCCCGGTTTTAGAACCGCTCAGAAAAACATTGGAAATGTTAGAGTTTTTATAGAATAGATTTTTATAGGACAATTTTTAAAGGTATAACAATCGAAATCGAAATTTCCAGTATAATTTCTTGAACTGAATGGTGACTGGGCGAAAATAACACGATAGATATAACCCCGTATACAGTAATTTTTTTTTAGCTCACCTGAGCCGAAGGCTCAAGTGAGCTTTTTTGATCCATTTTGTCCGTCGTCCGTCCAGCTGTCCGTCCGTCTAGCTGTCCGTCCGTCTGTAAACTATTCACATGTTCGACTTCTTCTCAAGAACCACTGGGCCAATTTTAACCAAACTTAGTACAAAGCATCCTTGGGTAAAGAGGAGTTGAAATTGTTAAAATCAAGAGCCAAGTCCCTTCACAAGGGGAGATAATCAAGAAAAGACAAAAAATAGAGTGGGGTCATTAAAAAATTTCTTCTCAAGAACCACTGGGTCAGAAAAGCTAAAATTTATGTGGAAGCATCCGTGTGTAGTGTAGATTCTAAATTTTTCAAATCACGACCCCCGGGGGTAGGGCGAGGCCACAATAGGGAACGCAAGTTTTAAATTGAAATATATATGAAAATACTTTAAAAATCTTCTTCACAGGAACTACTGGGTCAGAAAAGCTGAAACTTATGTGGAAGCATCGTGTAGATTTTAAATTGTCCAAATTATGACCCATGTGGTAGGGTTGGGTCAGTGCAATATGTATTACAAGGGGGGAAGTTGGTAAAGAAAAACACGGTCAAAGCTACTCAGGTGAACGATGTGGCCAGTGGGTCTCTTGTTTTATTTCCCCTTTGAAGCCATCGTCTCAAACCCCGGTCCGGACTCTTCCATACCAGAATGGGAGAGGATCGTACATTTTAGCCGTGGTTTGCGACGATGCTTTGAGGCTTTGTCTTTTAAAATTTGAATAGGAGAATGAAATGAATTAACATCCACTGTGTGTGAGTTATTGTTATCACACCTTCCATACTGAAATTTTGTAGATAAATGAGGAAATGTTACCCTCACCCTTTATTTTGGGATACATGTATATTGATATTGATTTGCAGGGACATGTTTCTTTTCGGTTTTTTTGTTTAGTGTGGCTGATCCGTTTCATTGAATTAATTCAATTTCAATTTATCAAATTTTCTTTGAATATTTATTATTTACTTTTTACATTGCATATTTTTTTTTTTACTTTAACAGCTCCATTAATGTAATGTGATGAGAATTATAACTCAAAATTTTAATGATTTTATTCTTTGTGCACATACTTTCATTATTTTCTATTCACTTACATTTGCTACTTTCCCTATTACATTTATCTTGATTACTAGCAATATTGTTCATAAATACATAAATATGGGTTTATGACACCAGTCCTGGGCAGTTTGGATGAGCAGATCTAGGTTATTTCATTTTATAAGGAGAATGGTCTGTGAGAATGTTTATCTAGTATCATATAGTTACGATGTTTCAGTCATTCGCCTCGTCATTTAAATACTACTTATACAAACTGTGTAAATACCTTTCAATTTCCTCGTTAGAGAATTTCGAGATGCTATTTACTGCTTCACTCAAATTCCACATACAGGAATAGGATTACAAAGATACGGTAGCTCAAATAAATCTTTCATGCTCTGATATCATATTTATAGTTATCTCTCACTAATCGCCTTCGCCCATCAAAACTGAGGCCTTCTTAATGAAGTGTCCTACAATTAATGCCCAAGTGTCCGAGAAAATACCAAAAAGAGTGTCATTTGAGGACCGACACTTGATCTCGCTTGCATTCAACCAACAAATTGTGGGTTATTCGGGCATATATTTATTTAAAAATGCAAACATCCCTTACTCGGGCTGGGATCTTAATCCAGCACTTCAGTACTTGTAGTGCATTCTTCAGTGACAAAATTATTGTCGTCTGTGTTTTGGTTTCAATGCGTAAATGCTGTATAACCGGGCAATGAAGCCAGAATTAAAACATGCCAATGTTATTTACATATTATCACACATAATTGTCAATCTAAATGGTTCAACATCTTAGTGAAATTTTTATTTTACCATAGTTTTTATCATGTTAGATATCTAATAAAATATTTTTCTTCTAAAACCTCATGCTACTAGTATTTCACATTTTGGATTTAAGTCGCTTGGCGCAGTGGTTAGAGCATCTGCTCGTGCTGTAAGGAGTTGTTCTTGACGTCGCAGGTTTGAATCCCTCCTCGGGACGTGGAAAACCGTCGTTTGGATGAGATTGTATAAACCGAGGTCCAGTGTCGCAGTATAGATGCTGGCACGAAAAAGATCCCTCACTGTTCAATGGCCCTGAGTGCCGAGCATACTCAGTATGTCATTATTGCAGCTCCCCATCGGAAAGTGACGTCTCCAATATGAGTGAAAAATTCTCGAGAGGTTAAACAACAAAGAAATATTTTTTAAAAAACTCTTTATCCTACACTGATGAGAAAAACTGAATCTGAGATATGTGCGGCAATATATCAAGTTGTATTTGTTGACCATGCTGAAATCACTCTTTCTGCACGATGCTCTAATCACTATGTCACACATAACATGTATTATAAAAATTTAATTTTTGATAAGATATCAGATGAATAATTGTTCATGCAAAAGTAAACGTCATTGAGGTCCAAAAGTCATATTTACCTGAGATTTGTTATTTCTGCGAATTTGAATTGTGTCATGTGACCTTCAGTCTGGTAAAAGAAGTATTTCGAGATGGCCCGTAGTATGCATATCTGTATGTGAATGTATTCAGCACTTTTCTTAAATACAAATGCAATTTTCTAAGCTTTAAAAATTCCTCCTCTGTACTCTTAATTTCTTTTTTTTGCACATCTCTGTTCCATATGAAACGAAATAAACATACCAAAATTGGGTGTTTATGTCTGTCCCAATTCTGATTGGTGGAGGGAACCACACACACTGTTTTGCTCCCGATTAACAGATGTTACTTCGCATTCGGTCAAGGCTCTGCGTGTAATCTGTCGAAAGTTTTTGTGCAGGACATACTGAAAATTCACAATGGTAGAAAAACTAAGCTTACGTCTAATTATTCCTCTAGCGATCGTACAGATTGTGTTTTTGGTGATTTTTGGAGTTAAGGTCGAATATCATGAGACGGCCAAACCTTTGGACACAGTCTCTCCATCCCCAGTGGGGAAAGTCTATCCAAGTAAGAAAATTAAAATTGTTGGTTATTTTTTAATTCAAAAATTATATTTTCTGGTTTTATGACAATTTGAATTCTTCGATTACAAGTTAGACAATGTATAACCATCTCCTTTGCAAACGCAAGTAAGGATGTACACCTGTGAATGTCTTTATTTGGCATGCTTGGTTAAATTCATATCATAAATTACAACGCAAATAAGCAAGGCTTTGTTTAATATTATTTCAGGTCAGAATTCATTCCTTTGATGGACATTTTACATGACAATGTTTTTTTTTTATCCGACCCTCTCTGACTCACCGCAAGCAAGTCATTCTCTGAAAAATATAAGAAATCTTTACGTTTTATTCGAATATTAAATCCTTTTTTCTCTGTCACTTGATTTCATACATAAATGAATAAAACTAATCAAAAGCATTCCGAATGCCTTCATTAAAAAATTGTACAACGGCATTTTTACGGGACCGTCCCCATCTTGTCTGTTTTTAATGTTTTGTTGGACTCTGGCCCTCCCTAACAAGGGGGCGCCAAAATTAGGCAATTTTTCCAGGGCAAAGCCCTGGTGGGGGCCCGGGGGCGATGCCCCCCCTGGATTCTAGAGATTTTGAAGGGTTAAAATGAGGTCTACCAAAGCCCTGGTGCGGGTCCAGGGGGCGAAGCCCCAAGAAGCTCCTGGTAGAGATTTTGAATGAAAATTTTAGACATATTTGATTTACGCTAACTTTGACAATTTTAGGGGGGGCGCGCGCCGGGTGCGCCCCCCCTTAAATCCGCCACTGTCCCTTCTTATTATATCCGGAGAGCGTAAAGTAAAATCCTCAGTCACAAAGACATCTTGCTGGTTTTCTGGTCACCTAGAAATTCTGAAAAGGCAACAGTACCCCAATTAAAGAGCCCAATTAGAGAAATGAAGTGCTTGGCCAGATATCCAAAGCTTAGAGACTTTATATAATCTTGTTGAAGTGCCATTTTATTTTCAACCAAAAAACACACACACACACAAAACAGGTACCTTGTGGTTTGGATAGAAAAGCTTTAAATTCTTAGGTTTCGAGCTATAAAATAATTTATTAAATTTCATGTAATTTAATAGTATTCAAATGTGCTCTGAAACAAGTATACCTTCATCTATATTTAACAGACTTTTACAGATTTTGCCTCCCTTTTTCGATCTGGAACTTTTTCCTATCTGGATTAAACTTTTTACTATACTCATTTCAGTCAATCGAGTGCTTGATTTACATAAAAACGACAGCTTGAAGCAAAATGCGCACAGCTAGGTTAACGTAATCTGCAGTTCGGGGTTTCGTTCCGATTGATTTATTGTAAAAGTAAACTAGATTTCAATATACCTCCATCGGTCTTTTCATTCCCCGCCATAAAATAAATCATTATCGCTAACCTTCTTATCATAGTTGTGCAAAAGTGCAATAATCTTATCAACGACTAAATTAAGTTTGCAGTATTTTCATTCGGATTCCTGTCTTGATCTTGTTGATCGCAAACAGAGGGAGGCTTCGGAAAAAAATAAATACATTAAGCCACGCAATACTTTTTTTAAAATCGGTTTTCAAAATCTCATTATCTTTTTAAAATCACAGCTTTCGATCAAAGCTCTGAGACTTGATCGGTCTGTTCTCCACGAATGACATTCAAATATCGTATAACAAGCATCCCAAAGAAGGATTTAATATGGCATGGATGATAAATTTTCCAAATTAGATAACACTTTCAACATCTGATTTATACTGGCACCCTAAGCATATAGAAACGAATGAGGTACAGTGAGAGCGCTAACGTTTGTTTGCAGGATATTTCTTACTAAGCATTACCTATCCTATTCGTAAATATACACAAATAGCACTGTAACATTTCTTAAAAATACTGTTAGGTCAAGGTTCAAGGACACGGGATCAAAAATCATAGCATGCTTTGAAAGGTCTTGTCATAGGTAACATTTAAGGAATGTCTCTAATTCTTGGCCATATTATCATGTATAATCTGGTTTGGGTCAGTTTACGCTTTATAATCCGCGAAGCGGATTATAAAAAAGCGTAAACTGACCCAAACCAGATTATACTCGATAATATGGCCAAGAATTAAAGTCATTCCTTATAATTTAGTTTTAAGATAATTAAACAACTTTTGATGTAAAATTGTGTTGCTTTTTATAAGTTCAAATTTACCGCGCAATAATACAAACGTAGTAACGGAAGTGATTTGAAGCGAGGGGAGGTAATAACTGATACATAGATCTAGCAGCCATGATGTTTGTTTACATGAGGTAAGAACGAGTAATTGTTTAAAGTTGAAGGTACATTTAATAAATCTGGAATTTTTCATGGATTCCGAGGACTGGAAATGAGGGGATTGCATGGATATGATGATTACGCTGGTCGTCAAGGGGGTGTGTCCCCATACCAAACCAGATTATACAAAATGTTTTGCGTTCCTTTTTGGAAATCAACCAATGAGAGGCGAGAATACAAACAAAATTAAATTATACATGTATAATACGAAACCCCTTATTCTTCTCATCCGAAAGTTTTGTGCGAACAATTTAAAGTAATTTTAACATTTTATTTTAAAGTAGGTCATACTTTAAGGGGTCAAAATTCATAGCGTATTTGGAAAGGTCTTGTCACAGGTGAAATATGAAAGCATTTCATAAGTAAAGAAAAAGATTTAAGTTTTTGAGACAGACAGACTAGCAGTATTACATAAAGAAGAATGAAAGAAAAACGAATGAAATTTGATATCCCCTTGCTTTTTGCGAAAGCGGTTAATAATAATTCAACAATATACCAGTATCAAAATATAAGAATTCTACATTTACGTGGATATGAAAAAATAAGGCAATATATAAGTGCTATCATGAAGAATCTAAAAGGGTTCATAGTAAGTTGTGATTATAGAGGTACTGTGAGCATAAAAGATGCTAATTCTCAATTCTGATAATTTGACCTTGAGGTTATCAAAATGACCTTTCTTATATATTCTTATGAAAACACTTTTTCTGCTGACATGAATAATACATTTTTTTTCTGCTAATGACCTTGAAATTAACTCAAAGAGCTGCATGGTCTTGGATCAAGGTTATGACGAATATATTATTTAGCTCGCGAATATGCCCCTGTAAACGAAGTGTCGGGGTTCAATCAAGGTTGCCCCGGGTTGTATTCCATACTCCCTGAGGCCGAAGGGGTAAATCCCCGTACACCCTTGATTGAACCTGGATAACGAATTTATTTCCTTTGTACCCATAAAATGCTTTGTTAACATCAGAGAGTGTCTCAATCTATCGATTAGATAACTACGTACTACAATGCATCGTGACGTCATGTTATTTGGTTTTTATCAAAGGCCTTTAGATCGCTTAGAAAAAAAATTGAGGTGTTGAAAAAAAAATAAAGGTATGGAACTCTTTTCATGGGGTACCTACTTTCGCCAATAATCAATTCTTTTAAATCAAATGCTTTACAATTTTACTTTCTATCCATATCTATTCAAATATAAACAATCTTCATTACTACCAAAGTTCATTCCGTAATTCCTTATACTTCTCGAGATATTCTGAAATCAATTCCCAAATTGACAATAATTTTTTTACTCGACATTAGCTTGGGCCTTCACTAATTGTAAAGCGGGGACGACGGGACAAATTTTCCCCGGAATTTATTCTAAACTCAGTGAATATTTGCTCATTTGCATTCAAGCTTTACAAGGTTTTTCTTTAATTTGATCATATGGTGTAACTAAGTCATTAACAACATTTGAGCGGTCTAATTCTTTTGAAAATCGAAAGATATATAATGCGTTCCGGGAAAAAAATCGTTCTACCATGGCTTCATTTACATTCATAATCAACATGGCGGAAGTTGTTGATGTAGACGTTTTCAAATTAATTTTTCGCGAAAGGAATATTATTACGGACTTAACGTTACACTCTGGAGTAAGAAATTAACTTTAAATTGTTGAAACATTTTTGCAAATACTATGCAACTCTTCGCCGCACTTCAAACACCGTCTGTTTACATGTGAATGACCAGGGGCCCAAGCTAATGTCGAGTAAAAGAAAGTAGGTCATTTTTGAAATTGATTTCAGAATATCTCAAGAAATATATGGAATTTCGGAATGAACTTTGGTAGAATTGAAGAATGTTTATCTATGAATAAATTTAAATAGAAAGTAGAATTTTAGAGCACTAGAATAAAAAAATATTTTATTAGCGAAATAAGGTACCCAGTGTAAGAGTTCAGTACCTTTATTTTTTTTTACACACACACAATTTTTTTATGCGATCCAAAGGCCTGTGGTTTTTATCATAGAGAATGTATGTATTGTGACGTCAAGTTTCATTTACACCCGGCTCAAGTCGGGTGCACGGATATTTACACCCGACTTTGTAACCAATCAAAGCTCGTGTTACAAGCTAGATAGGAAATAATATTTTTTTCTCCCCTCTCTCTCTCTCTCTCCTTTCGCTCTCTCCACATACACAAAACACCTTGCCCATAACTTTTGAATGGGTGAGCTATGGCTTTCATATTTCATAGGTGTATTCCTTGTGACAAGACCTCTTGGCCTTGGAGATTGACCTATTTTCAAAAAAAAAAAACACACTTTAACCTTGGCCATATAATTAACTATTGAACAGTTGGAGCTAGAGCGTTCATACCTGGCATATGTGTTTATTATGATAAGATCTTTCAATGGGTATAAATATTTTTACCTTGACCTTACAGTTGGGCTCACTTTTAAAAAAAAAAAGCTTGACCATAACTTTTCAACAGTTGGAAGTCGGACTTTCATATTTCACATGTGTATTCCTTGTAACAGACCCTCATTTGGCTACCAAAATTTTGACCTTGACATTTGGAGTTTGAAGTGCATTTGAAAAAAAATCCACCCTCACCTGAAGATGCAATACGCGGGGGGGGGGGGTGTCAGTGTTTCACAAACACGAGTGTCTTATTTTAATATTTATTTTTATAAGTATGAGACTTAATTCTATTACAAGATATGGAACTGGACAGCAGTTAAAAATACTTTAAGTCAGTGACCGTGAACTCTGAATTAAATTTCTTCGGTTAATAAAATTATTTAATACAAAATGCTTTATTGTTTTCCCCGGGTGCCTTTTTTCTTCTTCAGGGGCTTCAATTTCTTCAGCCCTACAGGTCTGCGTCCAATTCTAGGCTCTGGTTCGTATGTACCAGTTTGTTGTGTAACCAAAGTCCCGAGAAACCTTATACTTTTTCAAATGATATCAAATTGATTAGTCGGTCGCATAAAATTAACATATTTATAAACATTTATTAATATCAATTGAAAAAGAAAATTGAATTAATTTCAAAGACTAATGATTTATGAGTTGAAATACGACACTAGATTTAACATTTTTATTACGAAGAGATAGTAACCTACTTTAATAAAATGTTATCTGTACATCTCAATATTCAGATGTGAACATTGACTATGTAGAATTTTTTTTTTTTGCTGGGAAAACTTACTTAGTCTATGATTTTTTTTCACAGTCGAAAGATTGGAAGTTCAGTAATAAATTATTTATCTACTTGTATATGTGTGTAAATACATATGCAATATGAAGTACTGGGTAATAATGTATAGTATGATATTTATACCAGCGTTGTTTAAATATTCTCAAGAAAGATATAAATAATATAAAGACGAATATTTTTTATCAGCGGTAACAGTCATTGCACTCCATCCCCACCCCAACAATAAAATACAGAAACAGCAATTTTTCTACATTTTTGCAACGTTAAATAAAAAAATAAAGGTCCATCAACAGTAATTTTTAAACAATTCCTCCTTTTTAAGTTGCCTACTCCAATTCAGTAATTTAATCATATATCCATGATGGATTAAAAGTTGTAGAAATCAAATCTAGAAATTTTCTTCACTATGATAACAAAAGCTACTTCTTACTTTGAAATAGATATGGCTTTAGGTTTGCATTACACAATAATTATTTAGAATGGCACGATGTATTATGCAATAAAAACATGATCTTTGAGTACATATACATTGTAATTGGATGTTATCATTATATCTATCAACAATCGTACATGTATAATCTAGTATTTACAGAATGAGACAGCAGTCTTTTAAAGGCATGTTTGTAAATACATTGTATTCCTTATATAATGGCCCAGGCTCAACTTTCAGATTCTCTGATGCGTCATGTTTTGAATGAACAGACGGACACATATCATTTAAAACTCATAACAACTCAGTTCCAAATGTTTAGCGCTTTCTCTTGCAAATGTTTGACAAATACATACTTTTATTCATATGTTTATAATTCCACGACTACATTTGCATTTAACAGATACAGTTTTTCTCCCATATAACCTTGTTCTCATCGCGCCTATTTCCGTCCCTGTTATTAGGTAATTTATATACATTGTATGTATTATATTCAAAACAGTTTTAGTCATATAAAGACCTTGACCTTTTTATGTGACCTTAAGTGCCATTATGTATTGGTCAGCATAACATATAGACGTTTGAATATACTAGTACATGTATTGTATTAAATATAAACAAAGGTTCTAGATTTTTGCCCAAACACAATTTTACATTTCACGTACTGTGTGATCGTAACAGAACCGACGGTCATAACAAACTCTAAATTTTTCCACTTCATTGACCTAGCTTAGGTGTCATGGTCATTAACTTATTCATTGAGAATAAATTCTATTTTGTTTTCGTGTGAGAATTGGATGAATTGTTCATTGTCCTTGTGTGACCCTTTCTACACACACTATACCTGGTATGAAAGATGACCATCATTAAATGAGGCAGTCGCTCGCCGAATATAAGTATCGACTGTAAAACGACACCAGAGTGTCCAAATTCACCTTAACATGTACCATAGACACAAGGGCTCATGCAAAAGTTAGGACCAAGGTTAAAGTTTTTGTGACAGACGAACAGACTGACAGACGAATGTCTCCTCGCTTTTGCGAAAGCGGTGGACACTATTATTATAGTGTTTGGGACTTCTAATTCGATTTGACATATCCATGTATTCAATAAAATTAAATGGGAGTTTCAGTTACCGAATTCCACTTGTATCGCATTACTAGTTTTGCGAAAACTACGAAACATTAAATTTTATTCCTCTCCGTCTGTCTAGCTGTCCATCTGTCACAAAAACTTTAACCTTGGTCTTAACTTTTAAATGGGATGATTTAGGGCTTCATATTTCACACGCACATTACCTGTGATAAGACCTTTCCAAATATACAATGAATGTTGATCCCGTGACCTTGACCTTGAAGACTGAACTACTTTTCAAAAATTTTATTATTATTTTAAATTGGTCATAACTTTTGAAAGAGAAAAAATAGGGTTTTAATATTACATACCGGTATGTACATTACCTGTGACAAGACCTTTCTCATTATATTGTGATTTTTTATTATGTGACCTTGAAGTTTAACCTAATTTTCAAATATTTTATCTTTCCATATAACTTTTCATTGAAAAGAGAACTTTCATATTTGTGCGTTACATGTACCTGTAACAAGATATTTCCGAGAATGCTAGAATGTTGGACTCCTTGACCTTGACCTTTATGTTTGATCTAATTTTGAAAAAAAATGTTAACTTTGGTGATTACTTTTGAAAAACATATGACACCCAAAGTGGGGAACCACAATTCTTAGAATTTGCTTGAACAGTTCTCTCTTTCGTGGCCACCTTACATGCAATGGCCGGGAAAATCAAGCAAAAGTATACTTAACCAAAACTGAAATTGTATTTCATATAAAAATTTATACATTGCAGTGTTTCAAGATGTCCACGTGATGATCTACATCGGCTTTGGGTTTTTGATGACGTTTCTCAAGCGATACGGGTACTCGTCCGTCAGTTTCAACCTTCTGTTGGCGGCTTTCTCAGCTCAATGGGCGATTATCGTCAGGTCCGCCATCTCAGGAAACTGGGAGGTCGGAGTCATGGAGTAAGTCCTCAGAATTTCAAAAAAAAAGTACCTTTGTGTTATTTATGGTATTTTTCCTTTTTAATTAGAAATTTACCTGAACCCTTCATTTTCTTCTCAGGATGCTCACGGCTGATTTCGCTGGTGCTACAATTCTCATATCATTTGGTGCTGTGTTGGGTAAAACTGGACCTCTCCAACTTCTTATAATGGCTACAATAGAAGTAGTTCTGGCTCAAGTCAACGAACACATCGGCTACCACATACTTCATGTAAGGTGCAATATCACGTGATATAATATGTACATGTACTTGTGCTTCCATGCTGAAGACCTAAGCATTAATTCAGTTTTGTCACATCAATTTATGTTGTACAGACGGCAGATGTCGGAGAGTCCATGTTCATTCATGCTTTTGGCGCCTATTTTGGTCTAGCGGTGGCACGTGTTCTGTATAACGAAGATGTGGAAAAATCAACGAAAGAGGGCGCTACCTACCACTCAGATCTCTTCTCTATGATAGGTATAATGACGGAAAAGATCTTAACATCTAGAGATATCTACGATAAATAAATATTAATAGTTAATATCATTTATACATTGATTTACTGTATTAGTATTCCACTGAATCGAAATATAAAGCACCAAAGAGTTTTCATCAACTTTTCTTTGTCAGATTCATCTACTAGTATATATGTATATAGCAAATGCACCATCATTGTTTGGTCTGCAAGAGCATCTACTTTATAAATTTTCTAAGTCGATACAGGCTACTTACAATTAAGTTGATGATATAGGGTTAACAACAATCTCCTTTTAATAAAGTCAACATTGTTTACAAATACTCGTAACTATATTATATTACCGGTATTAAATCAAATTATAAGACCATTATTTTCATACTGCGATGTCGACGCATTTAAGTCCACTTACCCGAACAAGACAAATGCGTAGCTTACGGAAGGGTTTGCCATTCAACATTGGATACATACTCCTTCATGGCACTTGATCCCACTTCTTCTCGGCTCTCAATTGGTATTGTTTAATTAGACTTTCAATCGCATTTTCAATTTTCATGCTTAAAAATGAATTGTAGAAATTAAAAGCATTGTAATTTCAACTTTTACTGCCAGTCTACTACTGCCTTCCTGACATTTAAATCTTACTCTTTGGTACCAGTAATCAGTAACACGTAAGCCCCCTACCCCCTTCAGCATCATAACCTGTCGACAGAAAACTTTCAAAAAAAAGTTTTTATTACTCTTAAAATTCTGGAATAGTGCCTATCATCTATATAAATATCTCCGATGAAACATACGGGATCGATATTTAGAATTCCAATTAACTGTTGTAGGTACAGTATTTCTGTGGCTGTATTGGCCGAGTTTTAATGGAGGGGCCGTGGAGGGGGACCAGCAACATCGGGCAGTCATCAACACCTACCTCTCTCTCCTCACCTGTACCGTGACCACCTTCATCATCTCCTCCCTCGTGGACAAGCGCGGGAAATTTGAAATGGTGAGATTGAAAGTTCGATAACTCGTATTCTCTTTAGGGCAAAAATAAACATGCTTTATGTTATTCTTCCATGCTAGACCGCCTTCTTAAAAGAAGACATGCTATTTTAATATCTTTTTTTTTCAAGTACTGTAGAAGTACTTTTTTCCGCGTGGTATTAATTTCCGCTATGTACGCGGTCACAAAATTTCCGCGGAAATTTTGTACTTAATGTCAATGTAGCTTTTAGTGACAATCTAGAAAATCCGTGTAATCCCTACACCACAGTAATTGTAGTAAAGTAGGCAATATCCCTACACCACTACTCCTTATCCTTACACTGTAAACGGGAAGATAATTATATCACGCAACAAGTTGCGGGATGTATAATGTTTTTGACCCGTCCGTCAGTCTGTGTGTCAATCAGTCTGTCAGACCTGTTCTTTTTTTTTTTTTTTTTTTTGGTCAGCGCAACTCCTCATAAACCGCTGCACAGAATTTCCTCAGACTTTGCAGTTGTTTAGGACACAATGTGTAGATGTGCATTTTAACAGGAAATTCGGATTCCTTTATTTTTTTCCGGGAATTTCAGCACATTTCACCTTAGATTTTTGGCCATACCTTGAATATAGAGATGAACAGATTATCTTAAACCGCTGCACAGAATATTGTCATACTTTGCATATATTTAGTACACAGTGTGTATATATGCATTTTACCAGGGAATTTCCCGGCAATTTCAGCACTTCGAATTTTGGGGGAGCGTGGGGTATGTGAGCTTGCTCACTTTTTTTCATTTGAACTCCAAACTTTGGTTTGGTTTTTGGTCCTGGCAATCCCAAAGTCAACTCTATTAAGTTACCAAATAATGATATAAGCTGCAAATCTTATAAAAAGAGTGAGGTGGGAAAATGTAGTTTAGACATGATTAAGCAAAACATGGGCAGCGTGATTTTCACAGGCCACCATCCATCACAATCCGCACAAAGGAAGACGTCAACCTAGAAGGGTGTGATTTCAGTGCGCCTATGGCTCTCCGGGACGTTTTAATTCTCCTCCAAAATGGATTAGAGTTAAAGACGATATTCAGTTTCACAACAGAGGATGTCTTTCTCGATTATCTTTTAGAAGAAAAAATTTTTTTTAAAGAATGTTGTGAAATTTATTTTTGAACGGTCATTAAAATGCAAGGAAACTGATACTCAGTTTTATAGATTTTTTTCTGAAATTCCATGCGAGAGTATCATATGAATGTGACCTTTTTTTTTGCAAATGTGGTTCTTGTACAATTGTATAAAGCATGCACTTACCAAAAAAAAAAACAACAAAAACACCACTTATACGAATAAGATTTCTATATGATATTTTTTTTTCTAATTAATTAATTGAATTAATATAATCTTAATTAAATTTAACTGGTTGGAGCGCATCATTCAGTTGAATGAAAGAAAAAGTCTATGGACTTAGTCAAAACGCCTTGACGCATCCTCGCAATGCCAGGGGTCCTGAGTCAACACCTAAACGGAAACGTGTCACCTCACAATCCCTGACATTGTAAGGGTGTAACCCGAGTTGAAACTGTTTCTTGGATTATAAAGCATAAACTGACCAAGTCATGGTTCTAAGGTAAAACTTTGGCAGCTGTTAAATTTATTCCTTAAATGTATTGAACTCCAAAGTATATATCAAAAGTTGGACTTTAGGTTCATTTTTTTCTATAAAATAATAAAATAGACTGTGACAGGATAGATATTTAATTTTTGGTACATTGATGTTTAGGTTCACATTCAGAACGCTACTCTGGCGGGGGGCGTGGCAGTAGGAACCTCCGCCCACATGCCTATCCAGCCCTGGGGTGCCATGCTGCTGGGGACAGTTGCTGGAATCATCTCTACACTAGGATACAAGTACTTAACTGTGAGTCCCCCCCCCTCTCTCTATCGCACTCTGACTTAAACTAGGTTAAGAGGGAAAATAACAAATTTGCATTCTTTATATCTAGCCTGCCCTTTCATCAAAACTCAAAATCCATGACACCTGTGGAGTGAACAATTTGCACGGAATGCCGGGGATATTGGCCGCCATTGGAGGAGCTGTAGCTGCCGCTCTGTCCAGCAAAGATACCTGGGGCGACAGGTGAGAGGTCACGGAAAAAATAATCTAGGGGTCAATAACATGAAATGTTAGGGAAAAAAATCAAATTGTATGTTTATAATAGTCTTTATATAACTTTTTTTACAGTCTGTATTCCATATTTACCGCAATGGAACCAACAATGAAGAACGCGACTATTGGTACCAACACCACAATGGTCATGACAGGGGGGCGTACAGCTATAGAGCAGGGGGGATACCAAATGGCTGCCCTCTGTCTGACCTTGATTATAGCTATAGTGGGCGGGGCCATTACAGGTAATGGAAATGATTGGTTTTTCAACTTTTTTAATAAAAAAAAATTGAACAAATGTTAAATTTCAAAATTCATATCTATGATGATGAGTTAAAAAAAAAAAGAGCGGGCATATTGAAGGTGTCATAAGACCCTCTGAAGACTTGTCTTAAAATATATCTTGATCACTCTACTATATACCGAGGAATCTTATTGGAACGTACCGTAAATTACAGTTAATTCCGGGTTTTTTTTTTCAAAAAACAAAATTAAAAAAAAATTAATTGGGACTTTGTATCTTTTTACATAGTCTGAATATTCATTAAACGCATACTTAGCTTGAAAACACAATTACCCGTCCCTTTATGATGCAAGCACCTAGCATCGTTTTTCAGTGCGAGAAATAATTGATGACAAACGTACCTGGAAAAATTTTGACAAAATAAAAGAAAAAGGGGGTTAAACTTCCCTAAAACGATAAACCTGGTATAGTACATGTACTTATGGGCTGTCATCGTGCTGATTTAAAGTCATCTGTGCCATGAAAACTATCCCAGCTGTGTATATTCATAACTTACAAATCGAAAACTTATTTTTGATTGAAAAACAAGTTGAACTGAAATTAATACGGTGTTTTGCTTTTAATTTGATATTTTGACCACTGTGAGAATTATGATCCACAGGCGCTTAATTGACGTTTTTAACCTTTCTTTTCATAAATGAAAAATTCCTCATACTAATAACGTTTTTATTTTAGATGGGGAAATTATTTATGAAAAGAAATGTAAAAAACGTCAGGCGGCAGTGATCTAGACTGTTATGCATCTTACATTAGGGAGGGCATGAAGAGTAGATCGTCATGTCCCACTTTCTAAAGTTTTAATTATAGCTAATTTTCGGATACTGAGAATTGTAGAATCACTAAACCTTGTAAGCCTTGAAATATCTATATGTGTTCATTTTCAAATTGTATTAGATGCATATTTTAGACAATGTGAACAAAGTCCAAAAAAGTAGGTCACAGTGTTCTACTTTTAAATTTTTAACTTTTGTCTCAATATAGGTTGTTTAAAGGGTTAAAAAATATCAAGTTTTCTCACTTGGGTCTTCATAAAGTGCACCGGCACAGGAGCTTAACAGTGCTTTTTTTTTTAAATATAACCCTCTGTTGTTCTTTTTTAGGTTTAATCCTTCGCATCCCCTTCTTAGACGGACCTAAGGCAGAAAACTTGTTTGACGACCAGAGCCAATGGAATGTCGCCGATGAGGGTTTCCCAGGGACAGGTGACGTCCCTTTGAATGGGAAACCAAATGATGACACAAAGATGTAAGGGCATGGGTCAATACTGTTAAATACTCCATCTACAACTAAATCGTTTATAATATTACAAATTTCCGAATTTTCATTGTACATTTCAAAAAGGTATATTATCGTATATGCCACGCGTTCAGTATATTTTTATGAACAATATCATATGAATTAATTTGATATTGATTGTTATGTAAAATAAATTACTAAAGTGCTCACTAACTTTATCATACACCAATATTATTTTACTAACTCTTTCTTTTAACTTATTTCTTTAATAACAAGCCTATTGCACTAGATTTATCGAGCTTTAGTTGACTTCTTAAAGTCATCTTAAGAAATTTGCCAAATTGGACCTACAATTTGTGGTTTGTGGCGATATGGTTTTGCATTGACAAATTAAAAATGCTTGATAATGTGAAAGCTACTTATCAGAAATACATGTATATACATTTATCATTTTCTATACATATATTTACTGATCCTTCTGAACTCTTTATAACAACCATATCGAAGCTGCCACACACTGTGTTATTTCCTAAAACATATCAAAGTAACACGTCTTTTTAATGTAGTACAATAATAAATAGACAGAGATCCATTCCTTACGTGTATATATGTGTTTTCTTTCAGTCCCATGTTATGAAGATATTGGAAATCCTTGCCTCCGAGATTTACATCTGACATAACGATCAAGTTACAAGAAACAGCTAGTATCTTATTGTTTGGCTAGTCTATTGCCTTCAACATTCCGTAATGTGTTCAATATTAATAGGCTACAAACTTCTCAGGGGTGGGCGATTCAACAAATTGTCAACTTCTTAAATAATCTGTAGAAATTGTAATACCCCAAACTGTGTGTAAGTGCTGCAAGTGTACATTTCATCCATAATTCCTTTAACAGTCTTTAAATTTTATGTTGCAGATACATGTGTAGCCTCTATTCTATTGCACTACTGCATCATTAAATTAATTTAATCTGATAATACACAATTATTAACTCTGAATTATATGTATACACTATACAAAAGTATTGCTTCTCAATGCTTGTATGCATATTTGTATATCAACTAACACACATTTTATATATCAAACCTTCCCAGTTTATTTCATAACTTACACATTAACATTATATATAGGGTATCAACAATTGACGCTATTTTTTATAAAATGTTTTATATTGTATCTTTGTTTTATAATTGCATTATTTTACAATTCAATAAAGTATTTTTATACAATAAAGTTGTTTATTTTATTTTCAATGAAACATGTACTTTCATGGACAGGCACGTAGAAACAGAGGGGGGGGCACTTTTTTCAAAACTTTTACTATTTAAAATGTTCATTGAAGGCTGGTCCCCCCCCCCACACACACACTTATAGTTACAGAAAGGTCAAATAAGGGTAATGTAGTATTATATGTAGGAAATTTGATACTGAAAGAAATCCGTGTGGTCTAAAAATTAGACTTTCCATAAGTATTTTATTGACAGAAATATATTTTTGTTTAGTTCATTGCATTTTCTCCCTTGTCGGTACAAATAATTCTTTAACCACATTTTTATATGTACCTGTTCAAATTAAAAGCTCTCTTTATACAAGTGCCACGTTTACGTTAACTTTACTATTTATCACCACAAAAATGTGAGTAAAATTTGGTAAACACATTCATTCTGATTTAAGATTACATAAATTCGATCAATATGCTGCAGTTTCAAATTGTTATGTTACATGGAAACAAAATGTATTGTTTCAGCAATCTCCTCAGAATGTTTTTCAAGATAATTTACATTAATATTTCCTTTACAATACCCCCCCCCCCTTTCATATATTCCTGACTGAAATGGAATCTCCCAAACTTATGTACTGTTGAACAGAATGAATTCCTTGACAGGATACTATACTCAAAATAAGCAAAGGCAGTTAACTGATTATTCAGATTTATATGAGAAGAAAAAGATAATATACACTGTATACATATGAATGTTTTTCACAAAATAAATGCAACAATGAAGGAACATTTACGCATGTTTTAGAGAACATACATACAGCATTTCATATTTTATTCAGTAAACCTTTGTTGTTGTTTTTTAATTCCTTTTCAGATGGTGGAATTCTTAGCTTCATTTATAAATATTATTTTGAAAAATTATAAGATGTACCGTATGTACTCCCTAAGTCGGTCCGCTAATAAGTCGGATGTATTTTTTAAGCTTACATTAGAGGGACTGACCTTCTAAAATGCCAGTCTTTTTTTAACTCGCTTATAAGTCGGACCTAGAGTTTGGACCCAAGTTTAACTCCCAAAAATCTGACTTATAGGCGAGTATATACGGTACATGTATATGTAAGTAAAAAATAAAATTATAATTGAAAAATAAAACAAAAGGAAATATTTCTGCAAGAGAAGTGAAGTAGTAATATTTATATGTTGATACTGAATTCTCAAAAGTAGTTTATCTCCCTTGTGTTCTTAGCTCTGAAAATGAATATCTGTACAATAAAAAAATATACAAGTCCTTGCAAAACAAAGCAAAAGATGATAAAGTAAATACAGGGAGTTCCTTGGTTTCAGTTTTCTCCGTCCTGTTCCTTACCGTCTTTACTTTCACTTTTGTCTTTTTTACGGAACGACTTTTGTAACACATACGCATCAGCTGGCTCTATACGTTTATAATAATTCTTCTTTTCTTCTACAATCTCGAAACCAAACTTCTCATAGAATTTAATTGCACTTTCATTGTTCACTTGGACATGTCTGTAAGAAAATATTTTTTGTATCAAGAAAATGTTCATCTTTTTTTTTTTCTTTTGAAAAGGCACATGTGTTTTAAATATCACATGTGAAAACTAGGCATTCATGCAATGAAAAATACACATGGTGTAAATATTCATAAATACACCTGTATTGAACAAAAATAAATTATGATCACTGTATCTTTTTAGAAAAAATAACGGCTTTGCTGTGATTCAAAAGCAACCATAGAAAACCAAAATATTATTCAATATATATTATACAAGCATCACCTTTAGAACACCTTAAAATATATTACAGATGTATTAGAACAAATGGTCTTTAGATAATTGATCCTCAATATTTATACACGAAAATCAAAGTAACACTTACAAAAACACATTATCAAAATTATTATCTTCTTCACAGATCTTCAGGACGTGTTCCACCATTGTGGTACCTAAAACATTTGAAGTTGCTCATCATTAAAGCATCACACAATTGTACAGAGCATTGCATGAGAAAATTTGTGAATGTTCTTTTTTCTGTGTTTATGACTTTATTTTGCAAAAGAACAGATGAATAAGCTATACAGTTGAACTTTGGTATCTCTAACACAGATATCTTAAATACCACCAAACACTATCTTTACAAATTAGAAGGTTTGAGAGGCAATGTAAATGTAATTACCAATGCCTAGTCTTCTGTATGGAGCCAGACAGCCCAGTGTCATGATGTACAGACGTCTCTGTTGGTCTGAGGTATCCACTCGGCAACACACTGCCCCCACCACTATGTCATTGAAATACGCTGTATTGAGAAAAAAAATACAGTTAGCATTCTAACAAAAACTTCCCTCAAATATTCTTTATTGAATTGATCCCTTTTTTTCAAAGAAACTGGATGTGAAAGAACCTAAAGCTCACCTAGTTTTGCTAATTCTCCCACCTCTAGAACATCTTTATAGAATTTGTCGTTGTACGTGACAGGAAAGACAACCTGGTTCAGGAGCTTCAGTTGCTTAATGTTGTGAGGAGTTATGTCTCCTAATTCAGTGTTTCCTCTGCAAGTAAAGACCAATATTAATTTATTTAGTTAACTTAATGCAATATCAAACCTAACTGTCTGCAGAATATCTATACATGTGCATGTAGCCCCCTGGACTGAACAATTTGGATAGGAAGAGCTACAAACTCATGCTTTTTCATTACACTTTTACAACATTGGCCCCACTTGAACCCCATGGGCCATTATTAGTGTAACCAGAAGTCTCTGTCGAGACTGAAGCTCTACTGGTTTGTACTTATAGCAAAGGAAGAGGAAAGTACTTAAGCAGTTGGGAATTGAAACTTTACACTAGCAAAAAAGAGAATAATGATCCTTGAATAAGTTTCTTTATGTTCTTAGTGTAGTCTACTTGCATGCCACATTATATCATAATCAGACTAAAACTGTATTTGAAGTAGCATTTTGAGAGTAACAGAAATTGCTATCTTTATTAACCAAGGTAATAATGTTCATTGAAGTCAAAAACGGATATAAAGAATTATGTACCTTAGTGTAGTCTACTTGTGTGCCAAGTTATATTGAAATCAGACCAAAACTGTAGGAGGAGTAGCATTTTGAAAGAATTTCACAGAAATTTCTATTTTTAGTAACAACGCCAACACCGTTCGTCGATATCAAAAACCGATACACAGAATTATGTATCTTAGTGTAGTCTACTTGTGTGCCAAGTTATATTGAAATCAGACCAAAACTGTAGGAGGAGTAGCATTTTGAAAGAATTTCAAAGAAATTTCTATTTTTAGTAACAACGCCAACACCGTTCGTCGAAATCAAAAACCGATACACAGAATTATGTATCTTAGTGTAGTCTACTTGTGTGCCAAGTTATATTGAAATCAGACCAAAACTGTAGGAGGAGTAGCATTTTGAAAGAATTTCACAGAAGTTTCTATTTTTAGTAACAATGCCAACACCGTTCGTCGAAATCAAAATCCGATACACAGAATTATGTATCTTAGTGTAGTCTACTTATATGCCAAGTTATATTGAAATCAGATCAAAACTGTAGGAGGAGTAGCATTTTGAAAAATTGTTTACAGACAGACAGACAGACAGACAGACGGACGCCGGACGCATTACTATCGCATAAGCTCTTCTGGTCTCTGACCAGTAGAGCTAAAAATGAATCTTCATTACCTGTAAGGCTAGAACTATAATTTCTTCTTTTTTAAAAAAATTGATAATCACAACATTTGAGCCACAATACATCATTACATGTATTACAATATTTTGAATTAAATATAAATCTTCTTTGTGTATATCAAATGCGCATCAGTTCCATACATCCATAATATCAAAATATCGTCCCAGCCTTAATTACTTGAGGATCCTTGCATATAAATTTATCATATCGGACAGTCACATTTACTTTGGTCTTTATTTTTTTTTAAAAAAATTCTCAGAAAGGGGCAGGGGGTTAACACCATCTTAATATCTCTCTGTATCTGTATCTGTATTGTTACGTCACAGTGACCCATTGGGCTTTAACGTGACGGGTAGAGAGCGCATTAGTCGCGAAGATGTTCCAGCGCAGACTTAAAGCTTTCTAGCTTGGGGGCGCGGACCACTTTTTCTTCCAGATGGTTCCAATCTACAGCTGTTCGTACAAAGAATGAGTTCTTCAGTTGGTCTGTCTTTGTATCAAGTATCTCAACTGCACGGCTGTTATTCCTGATCCTATTACATATAATATTTGTCGCTTGATAGTCCTCGTACACTTTCGGTCTGATGTTTCTTTTCGCTTTTTGGAATGTAATACATTGGTCTGATTTAATAGCTGGTATCTGCCCCTCAACCACTTTGTAAAAAAAGATAAGACGTTGTTGTTGGCGTCTGGTTTGTAGTAAGGGAAGGTCAAGATCTTTGAGCATCTTTGTCATTGTGCCCTCTTCCCTTGATTTATAATCTTTTGTTATGAATCTCGCACCTCTTCTTTGGATGGATTCTAATTTTGTTGATTCTTGTTTGGTGTATGGATCCCAGATGACAGCTCCATACTCCATTATAGATCTTACTAGTGCTATATATGCAATCTTTCTACATTCCCTTGGGCAGTGTTGTAAGTTCCTTCTTAGGAAGCCTAGGGTGGAGTTGGCTTTATTTGAGATGTTGTTTATATGCTCTTTCCATTTCAGGTCTTCTTGTATTTGGAGTCCTAAGTAGGGATTTGATGCCACTTGTTCTAGGGTGTGGTTCTCAAGGGTGTATTGGCTGTTTATTTTTCTACGTATGCTTAGTATATAGCATTTCTTTGCGTTAAATCTCATACCCCAGTCAGATGCCCACTGTTCCAGTTTTTCGAGGTCCCTTTGTAGTAGGTTTTGATCTTTGGACGATTTAATTTCCCTGTACAAAAGGCAATCGTCGGCAAAGAGCCTAACTGAAGATTTTACTGCGTCAGGGAGATCATTTATATGGCAGAGAAAAAGTATGGGTCCAAGTACTGTTCCCTGCGGTACCCCGGATTTCATGCTGGTGTCGTCTGAGTATTCCCCATCTAACTGGACTCTCATTGTCCTTTTTGTTAGGAAGTTAGTTAGCCAGTCATGGATTTCTCCTCTTATCCCATATTGATTAAGTTTGTGTAGGAGTCTATCATGGGGAACAGTGTCAAATGCTTTCGAGAAATCCAGGATTGCTACGTCTACTTGGTGGCCCTTGTCGTAGGATAGTAACATGTCGTGGAACATCAGGTTCCAGCATGACACTTACCATATTTAAATATTAAAAAATGAAGCACCCCAGGTTGAAATTAAACAAAAAATACATTTACAGTGGTATAAATAACACATTTCCATCAAATTTATCCAGATATTGAAAAACAGAACGAACATTCGAATTTCCTCTCTCTTGACATGCCTTCTACATTGATATTCAGACTTATGAAAAAAATAAAGGTACGTCTGCTGCAAAGTAGATATGATTTAAAGTTTACACACTATAATTTACGAAATGGAGATGCAATATCCAAATAAAACATGTTTTACCGTGTCATTCTGTAAACAATTCCCGCTTTTCACGTTTCCAAACCTTTCCTTTCTCATCTACACGCTTTGAATATGTTGCCACATTTTCAGATCACATACAATAAAACATAAATCTGACGAAGATCGAAGTGTTGCTCCGTAAGCAAGTAGTACATAAACTGGTTCGTACTGTTTGCAACTGTCAGATGGATAAATGATAATTTCTAGTTTTTCAACAGATCTGTAGAATGTTCTCATGCAACACAAATAGTTTTTAGAATAAAAATGAAAATTTTTTAAAACAAACAAATTTTAAAAAAATGCAATATTTAATAAAATATACAATTTAATTTTGCTATGGTAAAAATTTTCTTTTTCATACCATTATTTATACACTGAATTGACGACGGATTTTTCCGTTATGAATTTCCTGATCATGACAAGGAGCACACGGCGAGTATGACCGGTCGGCAGGGGATGCTCACTCCTCCATGGCACCTGATCCTGCCTCTGATGTTTCGGGGGTCCGTGTTTGCTCTCCTCTTATTTTGTATTGTTTTATGGACTTTGAGATTGAATACCGTTCGTTATCTCCATATATTTTTTAGACATCCCCCATCCGGCCCAATTTTATTGCTATAAGGTCGAGTACCTTTTTTTTTTTAATCATGATATGTTTTTTCCGTAGAAATCTTGGGGCAGAGGTCAATGACATATACTTTTAAATAATTAATTGATAAGATTTAGTACTTTACACTAAATAATACCCCCCCCCCCCCCCTCAATTTTAGTTACACTTTCAAATAGGACTTAATCTGTTATCATAGGCGTCGGAACCGGGAGGGGGGGGGCTAGGGGGGCTTAGCCCCCCACTTTTTTGCAAAGATAGACATAAATATGCATTTAAAATTGGGGTTTACCTTTTTTGTTGGTGTAGGCCCCCCATCCCACTCTCAATTAGCCCACCCACTTTCAATTTCTTTCCGACGCCTATGGTTATTTTCAACTGTATTATTGTCATGTCACATTTAAAGTATTATAGAAATGCTAAAAACTACAGTGATTTTTTTTATTAATATCAAAAGTTACACTTAGAATTGACAATGTCACTCATTTTCTGTTCTGTCCTCTAGTTGTGCACATTCACTGTAAATATCATTAAAATATTTTTATAATATACATGTACTTCCGATTCGTGCACTTTGTCGGCACAAATGAATGTTCAACAATTATTTACACAATATGGAAGGTTAACAAAACTTTTAATCCAGTTCAGTAAGAGATAACTGCTTTCCATATATGAATGACAGCGAGATCTCGCTGATCACGGAGATGCGTCTGGTTGCTAGGGAGTTGCGCCTGTGCCAGCCACCGGAAGCGAAGGGATTTTCACAAGCCTCCTTAATGGATTTATTCTGCAGAAGCATCTCTGCGTAAACCTTGTCATTAGGGTCCTTGCTTTTCTTCACCATCTCCTCTAAATAATCTCTGTCATGATCGATATTATACTCTACAAGTACATAAGTTCAGAAAGCTATCGTATTAATATATAATAGATATTATAGATCTATTCTACAGTTACACCACAGAGAGAGAGGGGGAGAGAGGGAGAGAGAGAGGCAGAGAGAGGGGAATTTCATTTCACGCCTAACAGGCTTTTCAATGTTGACTCAACGTTGCGCTTTAACGTTGACTCAACACTGATTTACAATGTTGACTCAATGGTGCACTACAACGTTGAATCAGCGCTGAATTTTCGTTGGATATGAGAGTTGAGGCAACGGTTGAGACATCAACGTTGTTTCAACGTAGATTTTCAAAGATGAATTTGATAGCTATTGAAAATGGATTGAACGAACTTGAATTGATTTGTAGTTGAATTTTGGTTGCAAATGAATGTTGAGACAGAGTTGAACGTCAGCATTGTTTCTATGTCAAATATTAACATTGAAAAAAAGGTTGAACATTGGTTTTAATTAATTAAGTTGATTTAGGTTGACATTAATTTATTGTATATTTTTATATAAACTCTGTCGGGATCATGCAATGTACATGTATACTGCACATGGAACTTCATTTTTTTTCAAACTCAGGTCATATACATGTAGGCGTCGAACCGAGAGGGATTGAAAAAACTGGGGGGGGGGATTTAGAGTATGTATTTCTTAACCCTACCCACTTTTTTGCAATATATGCATAATATAGGCATTGAAATTTGGGATTTATCTTTTTTTGTTGGTTTAGAATTAATCCCCCCCCCCCCCCCCACCTTCATTTTGCTTCCGACGCCTATGCAGGTATTGAATAATTTGTGAAAAACTCACCAAATTTCTGAAGCAGCTTAATCGCCTCAGCTTTGATGATAGAGTTGGTTTTGAAGATGGTTTTTAGTATTGTGAATCCGTGACTGTCGCGGACGGCCATGTTACAGCCATTCTTCAGTAGGAGCTCCATACAATTCAGACTGCTCTCTATCACCGCTAAAAATAGGCTGGTCCGACCCTTAGCTCCAGTGGCTTCAATATTAGCACCTAGATTATGGACAGACAGATTAGGGTAATGATAGATTTCATCATATAAAGAATATCTTTACCATACATAATACATTGAAGGTACTGTTCAAAATGTAAACATCATTGAGGCACGTGAATGTATATGTAAAACAGCTAGGCCTTATAAAAACAAATAATTCAACAAAATTTTGCTAATTTTTCAGATTTACCTGCGGATATCAGTGCTTCCGCGATTTCTTCATAGTCATTGTACACGGATCTCATCAGAGGAGTGTAATTATGAGGGTTTTTTAATTCCAAATTGCACATCCCTTCAAAATTAAAGGTATTTTTAAAAATCTTATACATGTACTAGTATTAAAATACATGTAAGTGCTAGGATGAAACATGATGGGAGCATAAATTTCCTTTGTTCTGTATACAGTACAATCTGAATTTGATGATATGAGTGTTTGAAATGTGCTTTGTGAATTAAGAATTATATACATATATGAATGTTTGAAATGTCCTTTGTGAATCAAGAATTATATAGGTGGATTCAAAGTATTTTGTGGGAAGTTAAGAGTAAAGCCTAAGTATAGTAGATTTCTTTTATCACTACATTGTATTTCACTGTTTTTCACTGTCTTTAGAGAAAGCGAAAGCCCGTCCACTTCAATGCAATATACTGTTGATACATGTAGATGAACATGTACAGTATACAAGTAAAGAGGGAAAAAATTATATTCTTCAACAAGTTTTTAGCTGTCCTCAACAAAAAAAAATCAATTAAAATTTGCAAATGAGATTTAATTTTGCAGTCAAGATTTGCGAATGAGAATTGTCATGTGATAATTTTAACTGAAAAATTCAAACTTTTGCAAAGGACATAGCTTATAATTTTAAGAACATTTTTGCGCTGTACCTGTATTCAGAAGTTGTTTGGTTATTTGTAGATACCCCCTTTCCACTGCCTCGTGGAGGGGCGTGTTTCCGTTTTTGTCAATTATATTCACATCCGGTTTTGGATCACACTCCAGCATGATCTGGACCAGTTCCGGATTTTCCAGATACACTGCGAGTCCAAGAGGCGACCGGAAATTCCCGGATCGTTTATTGAGACTTGCTGCTCCATTAGTCTTTATATACTGTCGCAAACCCTCGGCATTACCAGTAGAAATTATTGTCCATATACTGACCCCCTTTTCCTCCTTGTCTTTTACTTTTTGTGCCTTGGGTGGATCAGAATTCGGAAGTTGAAAAGCGACACTTTTGCGACGACTGATCATAATTAAAACAAGTCGATTCTGTTTTCATTTTATTTCTCCGGAATCAGCCAAATATTGATCCTTTATGAAACATCGATCATGGTTGTTTCCTCTAGATATTTTTAAAACCCTGAAAGACGGGACAATATAATATACAAACGTCTGGTGAAAAACTTAATTATGTATTCTTATGAAGAATTGAAATCATTTTGTGAACTATGTCCACGCAGTCTTACCTCAAGCCACAAATATTTTTTTCACATTTAATTCTCGTGAATGTAATTACCACTCTCCCTTGACCCTTTCTAATTACCAGGCCTCTATGGAATGGTCATTTTAAATTCGCTTCAAAATCGTTTAGGGAGTGTACAATAAGCGGATTAATTGAAGTACAGAATTAAAACACATAAAAGTAAATTACTGTAAATAAAATTAAGTAGTATAAGTGTATAAACAAATGTTGATATAAGATTGTGGGAAAATTGAAAACGGCATTTACAATTATACAACTATACTTGTAGCCGAATGGCGAAGTTTACATCGAAAGATAGTGTGTCTTGACCTTAAAGCCAGTCTTTAAGGTTAGATTAAGAATGAACCTCTTAGTCACCGTTGAACGTTATTGTTTTGTTTTGAGAGTAATATACAGTACATCTGCATTTGATTATTAAGAACATATATACATGTAAGACCATTTGTTACAAATACATGTACCTTCAAAATCATGAAAAGGTATTTTAGATTAAAGAATAAGTCCCGGGGGTCTATATTTGGGGGGGGGTCCGTCCTCAAGCATCTGTGTTAGAGACTAGTACTTTAAAACTATTTTAATGTGCAAGATCGTGAATCTCTTAAGTTGGTGCAAAAATGAATTTTAGTACACCTTTCAAGTGACAGACTCTAGCCCTTTTCTTTTCTATTTCACAGAAGAAAATCACCTCACAGTTTCATTCGTAGTCTGAAATGTTGCTGAAAAATGCTTTTTTAAAGAAAGCTACCGGACATCAGCTAGAATTCTGTAAAAGTTAAATATAACGCAACATATTTTTTATTATGAATATAAATCAACCATGATATTAACAGTACAGTTTCGGGTATATGATATGGATTTCATTTCAATTAATTTTTGAATTTCTCATTTTAAAAAAATTCTGAAATTATCAAGGCCACACCAATTTATTTCTTGTTCGTCGGACGTTAAATACGAGCGTGCGGGTCCGACACGCAAAAAAAAATAAATTGGTGTGGTATAATGGAAAGAAATTGTATGTTTCAGGATGTTTGGCTGTTGAATCAGCTAAATGATGTCAATTAAAGGTCAGGTTCCTGTTATATACCGTATAGGGTCAATCTATAAATATTAACAAAAGCGGAAAATGATAGCAGATATCAGGATTCAAGAATGATAGACTAGGAAATCATGTATTTCAGATAAGTTTTTGTGTCTAATAAAAATTCTCAGAAACTGTGTGTGAGGGTGTGTGTGTGTGTGTGGGGGGGGGGGGGGGTTTACATCATCCAATCGTCAGGTGCCTGTGGTTCGGAAATGGTCAAACGACTGTAAACTAAACAGTTAAACTTACATTTTAGATCATTTAAATAACATAAATAAATAGTTTTTAAAAAATGACTACAATCCAGTGATAAAACGATTGGGCAATCCATTCGGTGAACAAGAATTATGGCGAACGGACCATGCGCAAACGGATCATGCGAACTGGTAGATGGACCGGATGCATGTATACGACACTTGAGATTGACTCTGAGGCTGGTTTGGAGCATTCTTGAAAAATCTTGAGTTTGTACTCCGTACGTTGGAGCTTGAATATAATAAATTTTTATAACCTCAACTTTGGAGTACGAGTATGAGTTAGGAGTACGGAGTTTGAGTTTGAGTACGAATTTGAACTTCAAAAAGTTTTAGTAACAGTAAGTAGATTTGATATTGATTATCCAGTAATTTAATTAACATGTTATAACTAGAGTGTTCCAAGGAACGCATGTGCCGCCTGCTTTTAGCTTCTTTAAAGATGTAAGATAATCTAAGAGTAGTCAGTTATTTGTATGCTACTAGCATATACAGTATTTCACGCAAAAAATCTAGCATTATAGTTTATAAATGCACAAAAACATCCACACATAGTATAAGTGATCATAGAGTCTGTCAATCAAATAAAGGGAAACCCTTATTGCTGCTCATCTCCGAAGGCGACACAAAAATATGTTTCCCAATCTTCAACTGAATAATTAAGTTGAAATCATTATAAATAATTATTTATCATTTTACATGTGTTTTAACATACGTGTTTCAAAGTCTTTACATCTGTAACGCTTCGGAACGCCTGCCTTGTGTTGAGAACAAAAACTCCAATGTAAAGTTTTATAATTTTATTCAGTAATACATGAACAGCGAAAATAAATAACAGTGTTTGAAAATCACAAGTCTCAACCCTTGGGACAAAAGACAAAATCAGTACAACTACTGATATAACTGGGCAACTGGCACTATTTCCAGTAATTTATGATTTAAGTATAAATTCCCCCGACCAAAATAAAACGAAAAGGCTCTCAATAAATGACTTATAATTAATTTACCAATAAATATTCCCGCTACTAGTTCAACTACTAGCACGCAGCAGAAATATTTCCTAACTCCTAAACTGGGCTAAAAAGATAAAAATAACTAGTTCACAACTAGTAATTATAAATAAAACTAGTACAGTTACTAGTAATATGAATTTAGCCTAACCTAACATTACACATTATGTACTTCAGTCACTCAGATACTGAACTAGTACACACCTTAAATTACTCTGGACAAAACTGGTGACCTTTCTCCAGGACACAAAGAAAACGAGAGAGCAAACGATATTCAGCATCTGAGTATTTATAGGATTAACAAAACCCGCAATAATTCATAACCAAGCATAACTAATAATTCCATCTCGTAAATAATAATCAGCCAATCAAATGTAATCATCGTCCCGTAACGAAATCTCACTCTCGTACATCGTATGTGAAATTATTACAATACGTAAATAAATTAAATAAATTCATAAAACATAAAGCTACACTTTTAAAAGCTCATTTACTGTTTAACATTTAATTTAAAAGAATTTACAATCAAATCTTCCGCCGAAATAACTCCAGTAAAAGTAGATCACCGTGAAGCATCAAATACAGAAGTAAACAAAGTATGGCGGCGGCAGAAGTTTCAGTAAAACATGTGTACTCGAAGACCATAAAACATCGATCACACAAGAAATAAGGTAACTTTAAGATAATCCTAAATTATAGCGCAGCTTTATAATTACGTATGTACAATTAAGCCAACAAAAAGCGTGTAATTAAATAGCAAGATGATGTCTGACATTCAACAGATCGAAACACAAGAAAAATAACATAGATCTTCACTACACTTAAGCAGTTGTCAACCAACATTTAAGACATAACTCTCGCTGAACATTTCAACATTCCATACAAGAATTGATGAATGAATTTAAAGTATGCATGAAAGTGCTTTAGAAAAATACCAAGATAAAAAAAAATGAGATTCAAGAAAAATGGAGGAGGGATCGTTACATTTTGCCCCTCTCTAAGAGTCCAAGTCCCTTTGGACTCAAAATACAAACAATAGAATTCACATACAACAATTAATTAATGACATATTACTACTTTATACACTCGATACACATATACTTAACTTCCATGAACAGTACAGCTAATCAATACACACAAGGGAGACTACTCCAAATAAATGCTGTACTTCACAAAGATTACCTCATAAAATGTGTATCAACTTCTCAAAAATTCACATCTCTAGTAATGAAAAAAAATCATAGAATTTTTTTTTTTTTTTTTTTTTTTTTTTTTTTTTTTTACAAAATATGGAACTACAATGCCAACCTTCATGCATATCACAAATCAATATGATAGAAACTTTATACATAAACACAAAATGCTAAATCAAAACTTGGAATTCATCATAATTTCACGAAGACAGATGAGCAGAGCATAGTATACAGTGTGATAAGGTAAGTAAGTTAAAATGCACATGAATGATAATAATTCAATTAATATTTAATAACTGCCATTTAAAGAATGAATTTATCTTTCAAAAACAATGGATACACAAAATATTAGCAGCCTCTCAAATTCATTATAGATACTTGCACATAAAAATACAGTGTTCTGATAATGCTAATAATTTAGACATAAGTATAACAAGTAATGTATAATCTTTCTTAATTTTCATTCACAGGATCACAGAAAAGAGAAATGGACACTAAGCTCTTGGTAAGCAAAAATATCAAGTAATATTACAGAAATGAATCTCATTATCGTCAGACTTAATGCTTGAAATATCAATTTTAAAAATATTACACATAAAGTCCACAAATCATTCAATTCCTAACCCAATTTACAACATACATTAAATGAATATTTTCCTAACTTACATTACTTATACACGTACTTATACTTACTGCTCAAATATACAATGAAATATCTAATGTCTCTTATTATAATAAGGTCGTCGGGCTCTGAAGTGATCTGGCCGTAAAATATCATCCAATGGAGACTGGTGCTCAGTAGCTCTGCGTGCGGGCTTTGGAAGGATCCTCCTTGGTACCGTCACAACAGACTGCAACTTCTTGGGTTGTTTCTTGGGTGAAATTCTGTGGGGGACAGGGGTTGTAACACTTACTCTCGCCGGGGCCATCATGAACGAACTTCACATCTGAAACAGGACCAGCTCCGGAATCCAGCCTCTCCTCAAGATTTTCCTGAGTTTCTATAGTCTCAGTTCTCTTTCTGCATTTAATACAAGGTCCACATTTCAGGCTTTCTAAACTGTCACCTTCTGAGCAGTTACAGTCAGCTGGGTTAGGACATCTTGATAGACCGTCAGCATTACCATGCTGTGTTCCAGGCCTGTACTCAATTTCAAAATTGTAGGCTGACAATATTTCAATCCAGCGAGCCACTTTTCCTTTAGGTTCTTTCAGTTTATATAGCCATACTAATGCTTGGTGATCAGTCCTAAGTACAAATCTTTGTCCTAAAAGACATTGTCTGAAGTATTCAACAA